ACGTCTTTCGGCTGAAACGAACGAACGAAAGAGGGGTTAACGGAATTATTAGTAATTTTTATTTACATGCTAATATTATTGTTTAAAAAAAATGTTCCAAGTTCTTGTTTATCATAAAGCTCGAGGTATTCTAAGGTGGCCGTTACTATAACGCATCGATTCACTTATATCGGCCGTACTTAGCTGATAAAAATATTTTTTAAGTGGCCGACTTTAGGATCTAATGATCAAACTGAGCAGTTCTTTTAATTTTATTGTTACTGCTAACATATAAAATAGCTAAATGTTTTTTACCGTTTTAATGCACATTTCCCTAATACCGGCCACTCGATATTGAGATGTATCAATAATTCAGATCCCTAATCTCGGCCCCGCGATTATTTAATAAAATAGACAATAAATAAATGTAAAAACATACTACCTTTTTTAATATTACTACTTAGACTGTTTTTGTTTTTCTTCAAGAACAAAAATAAAATAAAATCACCAGTTATGTTAACTTCCATTCCAATACATTCCTGAATTTGTTGGTGTGGTTTTAACAAAAATTGAATTTTTCTTGCAGAGATTTGTTACCTACTTTAAAAATAGTATGTAAATAAAATAATTAAATAATTCTTCACCACCAGCAGTAGGCAACCCCAGCCAGGAGCTATTCCCACTTGCTTCCATTTCGGGCGACTAGGAGTTAATTTACAAAACTATCCCAGGAAGTATCTTATGTAATAGATATTAGTACAAAATAAAACAAACATATTTTTTAGGATTTTTATTAATGTTTAGCAGTAAATCTACGAGGAGGCTACAGCTTTCTTAGGGGTAGGTTTGCCCTCCTTGAAGCCATTGCGGAAACGCCTCCTGACGATCTTCAGATGACGCATGCGGCCAGTACCAGTGGTCTTCCTGCGCTTAGCCTTCACTGACCAGTGGTCTGTAATAGAACAAAGCAAAGTCTATATTATTTCTGAACAGCAGAATAAACAAAATAGTGTTTGCAAAGACAATTTATTCTATGGACCTATCACTGTTGTACACTCAGCATTTATATTGATTGTGTTTACAACTTTTTGGTCACCCTGGACGTCGGGAACTATTTGACGTTGAGTGTATCAAACAAATTTTTTTTGAAACTTGCTATTAATTTATTAATTATTTATTATTTAAAAATGCCGGCATTCTAGTCGGCATTTTGCTTAATTGTATGTGGACAATTAACCAAAATAACTATCTATGATCACTGATTAACATGTATGAAATATCTATTTATAAAAAATAATAACTAAGAATTATAATAGGTAAATATTTCAGTTTTCTATACCTACATTATACAAGGAAATATTCCTATGAAGAATAAGTCCTCAATCAGTGTAGGATTATGAATAAGTACATGTCATAAATTAAAATTATGTATACCTAGTTTAAAATTGTATACCTAAATTGGGTGACACTTTTTAGTATAGTTGATGTGATAGTCTAAAAATTGTCAAGTAGTTTTGTCTGAACATAAAAGCTTCCATTTAATTTGTATATTTGTATGTATAATCAAAGATTGCTCCAAGTATAAATAGGTAGCTAAAGTAAACTTTGACAGGCAAGAACTTGGCAAATTTTTAACCTAGAGAATGTGCATTTAGTACCTATCTGTTCTTTCATATTGCTGCCCAGCAAAAAGAACAACACTGGGATTAGTTACTAGTGTATTAAATTGAAATGATAGTGACGGTTGGGTCACGTTGGGTGCTATGAACTTTCGATAGGTACTCAATTCAAATTTTACTCTAACCTAAGATACATCAGATGCATGTGTGAAAATAATGATTTAAGTTTGACCAAGTAATCCTCAAAAGTTGTTACAACTATGTAGTCAACAGGGATACATTTTCATACGACAACCAATAGGAAACTAATGATATTGATGAATAAAATACTAGAACATTTTATTTGAGAAAATAATTCATGAACATCATATAATAGGTTATAAAAATGAAGTTGCAAGTATAGCTACTTACAGGATCGCAGTTTCGCTGCAGGGTAGCCACACTGAGCACATTTAGATTTCTGAATGTGATATGATGACCTTCCACATCTTCGGCATAATGTGTGGGTCTTATTCCGGCGCTTTCCAAAGCTCGACGTTCCTTTCGTCTGAAATAAACATTGAGGTGTAGGTTATAAAGTCAACACTCCTTGAATCTTCGTAAATATACACTAAAACCATTTTGGTAGATTAAACCGGTCATAATTAACTGCACAAATTTTCATTTAATTTCCAAATTGTATGGATTTTTAAAGATTTATTTCACAAATTCGAAATACAGTACCATTTTGTCAGAATTGACAGCCCAAGAGAATCTTTAGTGATGTGGTAAGGTGTTTGGTTGGATATAAAGTTGGTGAATCGAGTCTAATCGATTAAAATTATATGCATATCGAACTATAATTGAATATCTGCCGATTATCCTACGACTACATTTTTTATTATTAATGTTAAACGATAGTTTTAATAAGAGGCTGATAATTTATACAGCAATAAGTAATTAAATATCTTTGCACAGGCAACGGCGGCACATCAAGCTAAACACAATGGACCTTTTATACAAACGATATAGACATCCGTCCATGGTTAAGGCCGCCTAGCGCGTCTTTTGCCCCACACAATCAACTAAAACATGTCAACATTCAACAAAATTGCCTACGAAAAATGTTGAATGTTGACATGTGCCTACTGATACGATCGATACGATTAGACAGATACTATTTCAATTAAATGATGCAGTGTGCCCAAACCCTAATAATTATTTATGTTTTGTGAATTCGCTTCTGTTCGCTTCCTTGATTTTGTTTTGTCACTGTCATGCAGTCATCTGTCATTCATTCATCTGTCATCGGTCAGCTTGCCAGTGTTGTTCTTGATACGGCAATTGCCGTAATATACGGCATTCAGGCATCTTAGGCACCATAAATACGGTATACGGCAGCACTTTGATTACCGTATCAAAATATACGGCAATTGAGTAAAGTAGAGTTTTATGCGTTTTTCATGAGTTTTAGTAAACAAAAAATAAATATTTCGTCTAATGGAACGCAAAAACTTGTAAACCATAGATGAAGTAGAAGCGCCACGAAAAGAAACGCCAAAAATGCAACCTTATGTCCGAGATTTTAAGGTTCTATATTGGCTCACATAAAATTCTAAATCCTATTCTTTGTCTTACTACCGATTTGTGTTCATAATAATCTCTCTTCATAATTTTATTTTTCATAATTTTTTTATTCATACATTTTTATTACTACCATCGGAGCTCATAACAGTTAGTAATCATAATTTTTTTATCAATACTGTTACTACCAAGAACCATTTAAAATACATAATTTTTATTTTCAGATCTTTTTTCTTCATAACATTCATTAATAATATTGTTTTAATTAATAATGTTGTTACTAAGAACATACTTCAACTCATAATGTTGTTGTTCAGAATAATTTACTTTATAACGGATATACTCGTATCTTTAAAAAATCATATATAATTTAATAGAGTAGATAAGCATGCAGAGCATGCAGCATGCATTGGTATCTCCTCGTCTCCGGCGCTGCGGGATGTGCAGCCCTTCCGCCCTTGCGTAACGAGGCTGAGGCACCCACGCTTGCTTCCGCAGCTTCGGCTTTTTGGATCGCCATCGGCGCCTTCGGCGCCTTGGCGACCAGCCTCAGCCGCTCCAGCTCACCCGGGCGCCTGAGCCTCGTTACAGCGGGCGAGGGCTGCCCTCCCTCCGCGCCTCCGGCTTTTAAATTACACTCTAGGGGTAGGGCAGACAAGACTACGTGGAGTCGGTTTTGCAGCGATTCGTTTCTGTCACGTTAGTTTTGTGGCACAAAATATTGCCTGTTTTGGACCATTTCAAATTAATTTAATGTTAAAATACGATTTAATACGAATAAAGACATCATGAGTTTCAATAATATGGATAAATACACTTATGAGTAATAAATTTATGAAAACAAATATTAGGATACATCACATTTATGAATATTATAGTTATTTATTCGAATGATTATGAGCTTCGATCATTAGTATAGAAAAATATATGAAAACAAATATTAGTAAAAACTAAGTGTATGATTAGTGATATTATGAATATCAATGATTATGTTTTTAAATATGTAGGTTTTAAATTTTTTATGAAGAATGATCATTATGGTATCAAATTGTATGAGAAATATTTTCGGAAATCCAATGATAGGAATTGAAAAGTTATGTAAGAAAATGCGCTACCGATTTTAATGTCTAAAATCGTTATTTCCTCATTTTGGTAGATTCTTCACTTTTATTCGGGTAGGTTCTTGGACTAAATTATTCAAAACCTTAATAAGTGAAGAATAAAATAAGTAAGTTTAAAAGTAGTATACGCATAGTACATAATACATCACTTGTATTTTTTAAAATTTAAACCTTCCAAAAAAACATTTTATACAATACGGCAATTTTCTTACTTTTCCTTAAAAATCCGGCAATTTTAGAATTGGAATACGGCAACCCTAAATTTGTCAGGAACAACACTGCAGCTTGCTTAAGATTCTTTCCTTGCCTTTTCTCTATGTTTCCTTGCTTTTTTACTTTTGGAAGTAATAATCCCACAATATAGGGAAAATACAATAAACCTATGTTTTAATCTATTAACAACTAGTAATTAACACAAATGTAAGTAGTTCTTGTTTATTCGATTTTTATAAATTTATTATTATTCTGTCTAATGGCTTCAATGGTGCGAATTTACAGCACACTGGTTTTGCCNATTATTTTAAATTTATTGCGTACCTAGTTGTAAATGAATACCACAACTTTTAAAGATTCATTAACTTTAGAAAAAAAGGTTTATTTATGGTATATTTATTGGTCATGAAAGTCTAAAACGATATTAAACAGGCTATAGGTACAATCCTCCATAAAATTCTGTTCACTCGCCCAGCATTTATGAATTTTGTCATTTCGATTTTAGATAAATATGGAACTGCTAGGTGTTATGAAAACATTGTCTATTAACAATGTTGAAACTGAGAGCGAGCAGTTATTATTTCGGTCTGTAGCTGCCGATATTGACGAAACTCCTACTGAAATTGTTCTTGCTGAATATACTGATAAAACTTTACTTATTGTATCTCAATACCAAAAAATTGGAAGTATGTTGATGGTTCAAAAGGATCAAGTCCTTAATCCTTTATGTGCAAATGACATTTATACAACAAAAGTTATTTTTGGTGATACAGGAGAAGAACAGCAAGTAGCTGCTAGATACCTGGCGGAAGCAATAAAAATTACAAAACCTCTTTGCATTTTTATAAACTTGAAGACATATGACATTGAAACAGTAAAAGCGTGCAAAGATATAATTTTAGACTTAAAAAAAGAAGATAGCTAAGAAAAAATGAAGCCAGTCCACAAATATTATGGTCAACTAATAATTGGTCCCCCAGGCGCTGGAAAAACTACTTATTGCTATAGAATGTCGACAGTGTTGAAGAAGAGTGGAAGAAAAGTTGTTTTGGTAAACCTTGACCCGGCTAACGATGGAATGTGTTATGAACCAGACATTGACATAAGACAATTGATACACCTGGAAAATGTCATGACCCAACAGAACCTTGGGCCAAATGGTGCCTTACTTTATTGTATGGAATATCTAGAAAAAAATATTGATTGGCTGTTAGAGCAAATAAAAGGTGAAAATTTTGCCGATTTCATATTTGATTTACCTGGTCAAGTGGAACTTTATTGCCATCACAACAGTCTAAGCAATATCATTAACAATCTAACTAACAATGGAAATCTTCAATTGTGTGTGGTCCACTTGGTGGATTCACATCATTGCTCAGATGCTGGGAAATTCATATCAGCTCTTATGTTATCATTGAATGCAATGTTGAAAATTGGACTCCCACATGTAAATCTTTTGACAAAAGTAGATTTGCTTAAGAAGCACATAAATAAATTAGACTTTGGAATTGATTTTTATACTGAAGTTTTAGATTTGAACTACCTTCTTGATTGCTTAGACAGTGATAATTTTACAAGCAAATATGAAAAGTTAAATCGTGCTTTTGTTTCAATTATTGAAGACTATAGTTTAGTCACATTCCAACTTGTTAACATGATGGATGAAAAAAGTTTGATGGCTGTTAAAAATTTAGTTGACAAAGTAAATGGATATATTTTTAAGAGTAATGAAGGAAGACATATAAATAGTATGTTAGCTTGTGTAATGGGTGTTACAAATCCTGTTACTGATGATATTGTGGAGTAAATAAAGGATTACTATGCATTCTAAATGTGTTTGTTTTATTTTTGTAATTACAGTAGTATACATATGCTATACTCCCTTCTGACCCGTGGAACACCAAAGTGGTACGTCGTCAAATAGTATATCCCTTTCAGGCCGGATTTCAGATTTTTTTAAATTATCATTTTTGACTACATAACATGTTTTATTATTGTATAAGGTACTCAAAAAAAATAATTTTAAAAATCCCCCTCGCCCCCCTCTGCGTGGGGGGACCCAGCACGATCGTGACGCTCAGGCTTAAATTAATTTACTGCACGAAAGTGACGGTGTCAGGTTTTGAAGTTAAAAACCTAAAAAACAATAAAATATTTAGAAACATATATTTTTAATACTCTTAAAAGGCGAAGGAACTTTAAGTAATATATCTGATTTAAATTGCAAATCATTTTAAAATAGCTAAAACGGTAGGCACTAGTAGATTTTTATTACATCTCTTGATGAGGAAAGAATCCTCTCCTGATGTAAAATTGGATGCTACTAAGACGGGTTTGTTATCCATTATCCGTACATTTTACAATAACAATGTCATTACTAATGAATATTTGGGACTCTTGCTTGATGTCCTTATTTTTCGTCCTAGAAATTCAGTTTTCATAAATGTGCCAGTTTCATGAAGCCCCATTTTATTAAATTTCTCGAATAAAAGTATGGATGAGAAAAACCAGTCAAAAGCTACAGAGCTAACTGCTTGCAATCTACTTGAGAGAGATGAAGAATTGCAGAAGTTCAAAAACCTAGAGATCTTCAAAGTTTATTGTTGCGGCCTGATAAACTTCGAAGACAATCATCAAACCATCATGGTTAGTAGCGACGAAAGCTCCTGTGAATATGGCTTTGTTTTTTTAATTGTCAAAAACCATGTGAACATGTCCCAGAGAATGAAATCCATTTGCTCGTCTACGGAATAAAAAAATGTTGGCTTTCTACTTTGTCTCAAGCATTCTAGACTTGAGTAGGCACAGTATGCCCTTCCTTCCGAAACTCAATTCTGGTTTTCCTACTGCAAGAGCTTCATCACTGTTTACAACATGGAAAGCCACACTAAAACTCAAAAAAGATCTCTGAAAATTTTGTCAGCAACTAAAGCTAATCTCATTCTATTTGACGCCAATACACGTGAATGCGTGGGGACGGAATACATTCCATGAAGAAATTAATTCAAACTTCTTTTTGAACTTTTTTGCTGAGGTATTCAATACTTTTCCCGTGGATAATTATTGGTACAAACAGTTGTTTGTACCAATGTTCAAAAAACATCGTCAAAAGCCTTCACTGTAGGTCAAAGGAGCCTACTACTGCTGACAATAGTTCTGGATAGTAATAATCCCTCTCCCTCTCCCTCTGGTTCAATGGCATCTGTATCAAGACCCTTTGGCCAGTCGCATGGCTTTCCGACGACTTTTAGAGAGCTATTGGCACAGTAACTGACAATGGACCTGGTCTTGGAGGTGATTGAGGCTCATCAGTAGGCATCAATGGCAAACCAAGACTTCTACATTGCCTTCATCATGTTCCATCTCTTCAATTTCGGAATAATTAACATGCCCAATAAGCTGAAGCAACAATTCATCCGTTAATTCTGTTCCTTAAAGCCGAAATTTAATTGAAAGCATTAAAATGGAATAGTTCACCGCCATACAAAGTATGTCACCGAATGTTGGGTTTGAGTCGGATCGTCACTATCGTGCAAACAAAATTTTGAGAGGTAATATTTCCCACTGCAAAATAAATAATGCCAAAAATTTGATTTACCGAATTACATTACTAACTAAACAAAATATTAAAACCAAAATTCTAGTAAAATAGTTGAATTAATTACCAAATAATTAGTACTAACGCTGACCACTCCACTCAACAAAAGAGGTCGACATCTTTACCTCGGTGTCAAAGAACACTGACGGCCTTCTCTCTCGCACCTGTGCGTTTAATTCATAAACAGACTAATGCACGATCGTTGGCTAGCGTCTTGGGCCCGAAAAGTTGATTAGAAAAGTTGCGAGATTTTTTTGAAATAACGTGCACGATCGTGTTAGGTCGTCCTGAAAGGGATATGACACCCAAAGTTGGCAAATAGTTCTAACCAAACATGTCTTTGTTATGATAGGAATAAGGTTGTGTCTATTTTGTGATTGTGTTGTCAACTTTAAAACTATAATTTGAACGAATTTTGCTATTAGTGGACAAATTTCTGCTCACAATGGACTAATTATCTGCTATACTCTCAACTCTCTAAAGCACAACATTTATAAAAATTTTGCTGCGGTAATGCACTCGCCACTTTGGGTGTCTCGAAGCACATATTTGACGTTGCTGTACGGCCGTTTGGTGTAGTGGCTCTAAAACGGACTACTATGCCAAGCAAGAGGTCCCCGGGTTCGATTCCCGGCCGGACAGAACTTGAAATGATGAATTTTAATTTCTCTGACGACTGGGTGTTCCTATGTATGTATGTATTTAAAAATATGTATAAAGCCTGGTCCGTGAGCACATATTTTGTCCAATGACCCCAAGCTACCCATCCTTATCGCTCGCGAGTAATTATTATATTGCTGTTGCGACTGTGCGACGGGCGCCCGCAGTGGGTGTGCGAGCGCGACAGCAACATAATTACGCGCGAGCGATAAGGATGGGTAGCTTGGGTCATTGGACAAAATTCTACGTGCTCAAGGATTGCTTACTTTGGGGCTAGATAGCGCTGTGTGAAATTGTCCAAAGATATTATTATTATTAAATATGTATGTACCAAAAATAGGGAAAATAGAATGAACCTTAAAACTACTAGCGACATCTAGCGAATTTTGTTTTAGGGCCCAAACAAGCGGGCTGCTACCTGCGTAAAGTAGACGCACGCAAACATTCCATTGCGTAAAGACCGCTTCACACCACACGGCCCACACGCTAATACACCACAAAATACTTTATTCATAATATTGTATTATGCGACCTTAACGATAATATAAAACGTCGCCACATACGCAATGTAAAGCTGGCAACGACCTTTAATAGGTACTTCATCGTTATTCATGACGAAACATTCGTTACGTCTAATCATTCATTTCTAGCTGCCCCTAATAAGTATCATAAGGGGGCGTCCATAAATTACGTGAGACAATTTTGGCCATTTTTCAACCCCCCCGCCCCCCTTGGTGAGATTTGGTGAGATTTTGCCTGACCCCCTCCCCCACCCCCCTAATCTCACGTGATATTTAGTAAAATGCCTATTTTGCAATGTCTATGCTTCGAGTCTATTAGATTTATATGAAAAAATCAGTAACCCAGTGTCGTGCCACGCGCAGTGCGGGGTCCCGTAGCTTCCCGTCGTTTAGTAAGACAAGCAATTGCTTCAACCTAGGACCAGTTTTTTGATTCATAGTTAAAATAAAATAACTAATTGTTAAATTTTGCTACTAATGGTTAAATATTAATAAAATGTAAACTAATATTTAAAAAATGTACTAAAAGTCAAGTTAAGAGTAGGCGCACAGCGTTGATTTTTCGTCGGCCGATAGTTTAGTCGGGCAGTTGATCAGTATGGGCATGTATGGGAGTGCGCACACTACGCCGATTCGATTTGGTTACTTTAACTACGAATACATAATATTTTCATACGTATGTAATGCCATTTTTTAGGGTTCCGTAGTCCTGACAAGGAACCCTAATAGTTTCGATATGTATGTCCGTCTGTCCGAGTTTTCGCTTGGAAACTATTGGCACTGGGGAGCTGTAATTTTGTGAAGGTATGTATGTATATTAATCACGCCGACAAATCGGTAAAATAAAATTTTGAAAAAAAAAAAATCTAGGGCAGGGCTCCACTGCATGTAAAGTGGGGATGAATTTTTTCAAGGAAAACTATAACGGTTAAGATACATTACTTAGTTTAAGAGTAATAGTCATTTGACTCATGTATTATACAATTTCTTAACCAGTAAAAATTCCTTAGAAGAAAATATGAAAAGTGACTTTAGATGAAGTAATTGCTTGCTTCTGAAATATATTGTGGTAACGACAGACAACTACGGAACCCTACACCACAAACTTGGCCAATTTTTTACGCAATAGCGATGCCGATAACGTTTTTTTTTAATTTCGAATTTTCTTAATTTCGACATTTATTCTGCATCTTTAGTGTTCACAAATGCAGACGGGGTTATTTTTCGTTTAATTTGATTAGGCGATTTAGAATAAATTGTCATTATCATCATAAAAAAAATTTTTTTTTTACTTCAATAACCCAGTTTTCTGGCAATTTTACTCTATTTCTTGCGGGAAAAATTACGTGATATTTTCCGAGACCCCCCCTCTCCCCCACGTGAGATTTAGTGAGGTTTTCGTTGACCCCCTCCCCCCCCCTAAAAGTCTCACGTAATTTATGGACGCCCCCTAAGTCATAACCAACGGGGATTGATCTCTTCTGGCAAAGTCAGTGTTGTATTCCTACCTAAATATTATTTTAATGTCGTTTTCGTTACAGATGGTGAGATGGCCAACAAACAACAGGCAACTTATGATAAATTACTACAGTTAGAAATGGAAATTAGCAAATTACTTGAAAATGATAAATTAATTCAAGTTTTGCTTTTGCATCAATACAACGACATAAAAGATGCCACACAAATAGTTATTAATCACATAGCAAATTTAGAAGGGACAACAGTAAATGAAATACATAAACGTTTGGGATTGAATGATTTGAAATAAAACACATGATATAATGATGGAACGTTTTATTTGAAGACAAATACAACTCTTTACAATTTTAATTCATCCAATATTTTTGTTGTTCAAACTAAAGTAGTAATGAACTTTTTAAAATTTTACATTGCAGTTTTACGTACTTAAGTTATAAGTGTTTTCAAAAAGCCACGGTTCCACGTTTGCTACTTCAATTACGAAAAATGTTATGTATTACATGACAAGTATTCTAATATATTTCGATTATATTATGTTGACAATATTAAATGTCCTTTGTCAGCAAACAAGTTTAAAATGTAATAGGTATTATACTGTTCAATAATCTAAAACTATAGTGAATAATGGATTTAAAAGAAAAAATAAAATCTACCTCCTTTGAATCACCACTAACATTACATTTAAGTGATAAAGAATAAGCAGCATGAATATGGTGATTTTAAAAGGCGTTAATAAGTCACCAAATATAGTTTATAAATAGTGCCTTTAAACGTTTGATATACTCAGAAAATATTACCATAGACGTATTATTCACGTCATCCCACTAACATGCTTTTATTGCTGTTACACATAATTCCTAAACAAATCAAAATACATTGAAGTTAAAATTCTAAAGTCTACACATCGTGTTTATTTAATAAGCAAGCAATAATATATAAATGTTTAAATGTATAATATAAAGTGCATGTCGCACGGAGCGACAGCTAGCGAATACGTAGCAGTGAGAGCGTTCTCTCGCGAGCCGAACGCTCGCTACGGGCGCGCGCGCCCTCCGCCGTCTGGCGGTTGTATTACGAAGTCGATGCTTTTTTGTTTGGCATTTAGTCATTGGAACAGCGCTGTGGCTGCTGTACGTGTGCACTGCACTCAAGTACTGATCATGTTTTCATTATTGAAATCAATTATATGTTATTGTAGCAACATATTTGTCTATGTTCCGGCCAGGGTTAAGCGTTCCAAAATTGTAAAGTCTTCATTTAGTTCCATTCTCGACTGGTGTGAACTGCACAATCAGAAGGTTCGTGAAATTTAAATGGAATGTGATGTTAATTGTTTCAGTTTTAACACCGATCGAGTCTTACAGTAAGACTTTGTCTCATTAATCTTGTTAGTCATTCCAGCTAAATTTAAGTATAACAATATAACAAATTTACAAAAATACATATAAAGTGAAGAACATTCGCAAAATTGTATTTCCAAAAATGCATATAAATATATCACTAACAAATCTACGATTTCCTATCGAAATAATACCCTATAGGAAGTGGAAATATCAATTTGCGAATGTTCGTTCAGTTTTAAACGTCTATCGTTAGACTTAAATCTATGAGTTTCAGACTCGTTTCAGGCAGTCCCACAGATTTCAGAGCACCAACAATCATTCAATAAATGCAATAACTAAACTAATTATTCATTCTTTCTAGCATTATGATGTCATTGTTTCATTAAGCAATAATTGCTTAATCTAACAATGCAACATAATCTTAGATTGAAAACAACTACAACATGAACCTTGATAAAAAACATTACTGTCATTCATTATTATAACTAATTATTTTCAGTTCTTGAATATGTTGTCGTAACCTTGCCTTTCGAAAAATATCGAAAGAAGTAAAGTAATAAAAATGTATGGCATAATGTTTTCTAACATGATTCATATTTAATACTTATCACACACTTCAAAGCCTAAAAGTATCAAGATTTCCAAAAACAAGTCTGAAAGCAATTTGGTTTAGCCTAAAAAATCAATAAGATTAGATCAAACATTATGTACTTTGGTGACTATAGTCATTCCTTCGCTAAGACTTAACAGTCTATTTTGATCTTTATAAAATCAAAGACAAATCTCAATTATTCAAGAGGATTTTATAGACCAAACCAAGCTTAAAAATAAAAATTATGATTTGGTAAATTGTAAATATACTATGTGTAAATAAATAATGTTGACTCAGTACTTCATATGCTTATAAACAAAACATACTAATTACTAAGTCATCTCACTTTTCAATTAAACGTGACTTAACAATCAACATTAATTTATTAATATATATTTCTAATTATCACTTGTCAAATAACGGGTGCTTTTGGGTTCTTATCTTTTTATAAGAGATATTGTACTACCTCAAGCATTAGAACCAATCATCTTGTACTACTTTGTCACATGCTCTGTATATTGTTCTTAATTAAGCAGTATTGCCATCTTTTTCAGCAGCAAATAACAAAATAGTATAAGAGGTGTCTTAGTAGGGTAAATGGTAGCATTTAAATGCCTTTTTCAAGCCGGTTGTCTTTAATATTATTATTAATTGAACACGTTGTGTGTCAATTAAAGTAATATAAAATCAGTCTCAAGATTGGGAAGTCTTTTCGATCTTCAGGCACGTATACTTTTTTAGGTGGAATCACACCTCACAGACAATAACAAAATCCTTAGTGGATTTATTTACTTATCTGTTCACAATTTTAAGAATTAACCCAAATACGTGCTAAAATAATTGTATTCACATGTCAGTTATTATTTCCCAAGAAGTTACATAAAGCAACTTTAACTTCAATGAGTGCTAGTGAAAGTTACACAAATCGTAAATATAAAACATCAATAAATGTAATGTTTACTTTTTGTGGTTCACGAGAATAAACATATTGCATGAGTAAATGGCTGTTTTAGGCTTTCCTCAAAACTGAATGGTGGAAAATTCATGAATGAACTAATTACTGTGAAAAACAAAGTTAAGACTACTGGTTGATGGAGAGAAATGTTGAACAAATAAATCAGTTACCTCAAACAAAAGTACTTAATTAGAAACAGGTGCATCGCCTTGGCCCATATGCTCCTTTTCAGATTTGTGGTTTTGCTCCATCTAAAATGTATGACAATATTATCAAGAGATGTGGAATGCTAACTAAAATTCGTTCGTGTAAGGCGAGGAAAGCTCTGTGGTAAGTCCTGTAGTTGTGTCGTCATCAGTGGTTGGTTGCAATTACTTATTCAGCAGTCACCTTGTTCTTATCGAGTGGCCCATTAACTTCTAACTGGGCGTCAGTCTTCGGATTGGAACTCTTCTTCTTGCCTTTTCCAATGTTTTTCTTCATATTCTTAGCAGTCTTGGTTTTTTGAGGCTGTGCTCCTATTAACAAAAATACATACAGTTATTCTTCTGTATTTCAAGTTACTCATTAACGATTAAAAATTGGAGCCAAGACGTAGGACTAAAGTATTTTGGGTAAATTAATTGACTTTACCTTCAACTTCATTGTCTGCAGCAGAGTTATCCTCATGCGGGCTTCCTTCTTCAACCTGTGTAGCAATGTCTTCCGGTCTCACCGTTTTCCTAGAAAGCACAAAAAACGTAATTCGTTAACGCTTATTCGGATCCAAAGGGCAAGCGCAAACAAGGTCTATTGTCGGAGATCTTTAAAAAGTATAAGAAAATACTTTGGTAACAGGTCCATTGGCTCTATACTATTATTATGCAGTGGAATAAGGTAGAAGACATTCAATTATCATAATGTTGTATGAACTATTAAAAATGACTATTTACGGCATTCGGGACTGTCATCATCCAGCTCCCAACATTTAATTTTCATAACTCCGTTTTAGGACTAGACTGAATTGATAATAGCGCGTACATAATGCTGTAAGACTGAGGTGTTAGTACATCAATTGAATTTTTTAATTAAGTTTAAATAATTGAAGTGTGTTTCTTAAGAACTTGTATCTTGGAATCACAGAGAGTCAACTAATATTGTTAGGGAGAAGCCACACGGTGTCATTGCGGCGTCCGTCGTGGGTGCAACACCTGGCAACCCTTACTTACTTAGCATTATTTTTTAACTGTTCTCTTCTCTTCACGATAAAACGCCATCGATGAAAAATAAAATGCAAATATCGCTATTACGTCTTTACAACGAGAAAATGGGAGAAATTATCAAAGTTCCATTCAACTGACATTTTCTGGTAAGGATTTGGAGGCCCCCTGAGCTTGGGGGGCCCGGGGCACTGCCCCACCTTGCCCCTTAGTAGCTACGCCCCTGCTTACATGGTGTCTTTTATTGTACAACTTACCCGTTGTAGAGTAATTGGATCGCGGTGCGCGAGTTTGCGCACTCCTGGCACACAATCAGGCGAAGTTATGAGAAGAAGTGATGACATTTGATAGCAGCCCGACGCGAAGTGCCGTATTTGTGGTGTCAAGCCCCAGAAGGGGGAGAATTGACTATGAGAAGGGACATGGATCAGAGAAATTTGTAGNAGTGGCCCGTTAACTTCTAACTGGGCGTCAGTCTTCGGATTGGAACTCTTCTTCTTGCCTTTTCCAATGTTTTTCTTCATATTCTTAGCAGTCTTGGTTTTTTGAGGCTGTGCTCCTATTAACAAAAACACATACAGTTATTCTTCTGTATTTCAAGTTACTCATTAACGATTAGAAATTGGAGCCAAGACGTAGGACTAAAGTATTTTGGGTAAATTAATTGACTTTACCTTCAACTTCATTGTCTGCAGCAGAGTTATCCTCATGCGGGCTTCCTTCTTCAGCCTGTGCAGCAATGTCTTCCGGTCTCACCGTTTTCCTAGAAAGTACGAAAAACGTAATTCGTTATTGCTTATTCGGATCCAAAGAGCAAGCTCAAACTCAAAGGTCTATTGTCTGAGATCTTTTAAAAGTATTAGGACAATAAATTGGTATCAGTTATTATGCAGTGGAATAACCTATTTCAGAAAACATTCAATTAACATACTATGGACTGTCATCCGGCTCCCAACATTCATAACTCCGTTTTTAGGATTAGACTGAATTTAGCCATTGACATTGGCGCGTACAGAACGCTGTAAGACAGTAAAGTAGGTAAGATGTACTTATGTACATCAATTGTATTTTAATACCCGCGCCGCGACCCCGCCCGCCGTACGAGTTGCGGGTGGGCGGCGTGTAGCCCACGTAGCCCACGTGTTGCTGGTGTCATCACTGCACAACTCACCCGTTGACAGTGAGCGTGGTGGGCTTGACCGGCTGCTCGGGCTCGTCGCGCCGCGTGCGCTGCCCGCCGTACGAGTTGCAGGGCGGCGTGTAGCCCACGTAGCTCGCTTGTTGCTGGTGTCATTACTGCACAACTCACCCGTTGACGGTGAGCGTGGTGGGCTTGACCGGCTGCTCGGGCTCGTCGCGCCGCGTGCGCCGCCCGCCGTACGAGTTGCGGGTGGGNATTCAGCAGTCACCTTGTTCTTATCGAGTGGCCCATTAACTTCTAACTGGGCGTCAGTCTTCGGATTGGAACTCTTCTTCTTGCCTTTTCCAATGTTTTTCTTCATATTCTTAGCAGTCTTGGTTTTTTGAGGCTGTGCTCCTATTAACAAAAATACATACAGTTATTCTTCTGTATTTCAAGTTACTCATTAACGATTAAAAATTGGAGCCAAGACGTAGGACTAAAGTATTTTGGGTAAATTAATTGACTTTACCTTCAACTTCATTGTCTGCAGCAGAGTTATCCTCATGCGGGCTTCCTTCTTCAACCTGTGTAGCAATGTCTTCCGGTCTCACCGTTTTCCTAGAAAGCACAAAAAACGTAATTCGTTAACGCTTATTCGGATCCAAAGGGCAAGCGCAAACAAGGTCTATTGTCGGAGATCTTTAAAAAGTATAAGAAAATACTTTGGTAACAGGTCCATTGGCTCTATACTATTATTATGCAGTGGAATAAGGTAGAAGACATTCAATTATCATAATGTTGTATGAACTATTAAAAATGACTATTTACGGCATTCGGGACTGTCATCATCCAGCTCCCAACATTTAATTTTCATAACTCCGTTTTAGGACTAGACTGAATTGATAATAGCGCGTACATAATGCTGTAAGACTGAGGTGTTAGTACATCAATTGAATTTTTTAATTAAGTTTAAATAATTGAAGTGTGTTTCTTAAGAACTTGTATCTTGGAATCACAGAGAGTCAACTAATATTGTTAGGGAGAAGCCACACGGTGTCATTGCGGCGTCCGTCGTGGGTGCAACACCTGGCAACCCTTACTTACTTAGCATTATTTTTTAACTGTTCTCTTCTCTTCACGATAAAACGCCATCGATGAAAAATAAAATGCAAATATCGCTATTACGTCTTTACAACGAGAAAATGGGAGAAATTATCAAAGTTCCATTCAACTGACATTTTCTGGTAAGGATTTGGAGGCCCCCTGAGCTTGGGGGGCCCGGGGCACTGCCCCACCTTGCCCCTTAGTAGCTACGCCCCTGCTTACATGGTGTCTTTTATTGTACAACTTACCCGTTGTAGAGTAATTGGATCGCGGTGCGCGAGTTTGCGCACTCCTGGCACACAATCAGGCGAAGTTATGAGAAGAAGTGATGACATTTGATAGCAGCCCGACGCGAAGTGCCGTATTTGTGGTGTCAAGCCCCAGAAGGGGGAGAATTGACTATGAGAAGGGACATGGATCAGAGAAATTTGTAGAGTCAAGCAAAGCGCCCGGGGAAAAGAGCCCAGAGCAAGTCCGCGCGCTCTCCCGAGATTCGGTTCGTATGCCGTGAGGCAGGAAGAACCATGGGTGGTGGGTTAACTCACCCGTTGACGGTGAGCGTGGTGGGCTTGACCGGCTGCTCGGGCTCGTCGCGCCGCGTGCGCCGCCCACCGCGAGCCGGCGCAGCGCCGCGCCCGCGCCCGCGGCCTCGTCCACCGCGCGCGCCGCGCCACCCGCGCCCGCCGTACGAGTTGCGGGTCGGCGGCGTGTAGCCCACGTAGCTCACTTGTTGCTGGAAAAAGACAATGCCGGAAATTGGCGTCTTTTTTTTTCGCGCGGCCATCGACCAAACCTTGTTTTTTTATTACAAAATAGTATAATAAAACAAACTTACTATGACATGTACACCTCTAAATTCAGTCTGAACTGAGTTACGAGCATTAGAAGTTTGATAATTTTCATACTAGATTTGCTTTTTGCGCGCAAGTTTTGTAAGAAATTGCAACAAAATAGTGACATTGTATGTGTAAACAAACAATATCATCCATTATAGGCTCCAGACATCAGTATGCAGCAGAATCAGCGCAATAAAAAAATAGCGCAATATTTTCATCAAACTTCTAATGCTCGTAACTCAGTTCAGACTGAGTTTAGAGGTATACATGCCATAGTAAGTTTGGTTTATTACACTATTTTGTAATCAAAAAACAAAGTTCGGTCGATGGCCGCGCGAAAAAAAAAAAAGACTCCACCTTCCATACAAAATCTGGCATAGCCATTTATCGTAACGTCAGATACAAAGTTTTATATCGCGTTGTTTCACGTATGCTGCACTCGACAGCGTAGCTCAACTTGTAAGTTACGACATTCCAATTGCCGTCTTGAGCATCTTCTGAATTTATAGCTTAACAAACCGCAAGATTACCAAAGGTATGTCCATTGTCCACAGTTAATAATGCGCATAATTAACAGGATTTGTCTAAAAATGACCAAAAAGTAAAGACCTTAAAAGCGCTCTGACGAGCTCCAAGTAGGGCTCGAGTCGAAAGTCGGGACAGAAGACATTGCTGAAGAAGGATAATAAAATTGTGATATTCAAATTGTAGTAATACACGGCACACGCTAATAAGTGTACAGCCAAAGTGCCGTGCGTGGAGCCTTGTAAGACTCCTTTAGTAAATCCACCACGTCTGTCACCAGTGGCAGCGGTGGCATCGCAAACCCCACCTCCAGACCTTTCAGGACGGCTTTGCAATATTAAACTCATAATAAACTAACGGCCGCCCGCGACTTCGTACGCGTGGACCTCGTTTTACCCCCGTTAGATATCATGTTTCCCCCGCATGAATAACGAACGTCAAAAACAGTAGTTTGTCCAGCGCTGTAGATTTTAACCAATGACGATAGATGGCGCTTTTTAGACAGGTCTTATTTATTTATTGAAATTTATTTGTCACATATTGTCATAAATTATAGCCTATATGTTAATCTGGGTTATAAACAATAATACTGTAAAGTTTCAACAAAATCTGTTCAGTAGTTTTTGCGTGAAAGAGTAACAAACTCCAGACATCCAAACTTTCGCCTTTATAATATTAGTAGGATAGTAGGAACACAGAATAAATAATAGTACAGGTACAGAATGATTACTCCGCAAGACGATTTAAATAAATGCGAATCTTGCTACGACGCGCGATACAGTGGAATTCAGCTCGCACAGCACTACGTACCTACAATTTTATTCACCTATAAGTTTTGTCTCTTTCTATCGCGTGCCTCTGAACTCTTCTTACGCTGTTAGGGTTGCTGTCTAGTGAAAAAATAATTAATCTAGGTACTTATTTGTAATGAGGTACGTATGTAGGTATAATATTATGCATTCATTAAGGAAAACCTTGGGAGAGGCCTTTGTCCAGCAGTGGACGTCATTTGGCTGAAACGAACGAACGAATTCTGAGCAGTAGTCATGGTAGGTAGGTTAGGTTCCTATACTATCCTAAGAATTATTGATTACCTACATGGCCAACATACCTTTCAGCATCTTTGGGAAGCGAAAAAAAAAGATAAATCCGGTAGATTTCTTTTCGAATTTTAACACCCGAACGCCGCACAATATTTCTTTCTCTTTATGTCCATTTTTAAATAATACTTCGATCATAGAATTATAATCATACTACAACGCACGCCAGCGTCCTGACGGGCGCGCGCGTGACACTCGACTGATATAATACCCGCCGGCGGGGCGCTTCGCTGTAGGTAATTATCGGATGTACCGCGCGGAGTGAGCCAGGCCTGGTAGGAAGTAGGATAGTTACCTGCGGGTATCTCTGCGCGCGCTGCGGGTAGCTGCCGCCGCCCCACTGGCCGACCACCACGCCCGCTATCTCGAGGCGCGCGCCGCGCCCGCGCCCGCGGCCCCAGCCGCCCAGCGCGCCGCCCACCACGCCCGCCACCAGCGGCAGCGGCGCCATAGCGAACTCCACCTCCAAACCTTCCAGGATGGCCTTGCGCATGCGCTCCACCTGGATAAAAATCAAAAATATTTCCTGTTGATGTTTGTTGATGTTGATGTTTCCTGGGTCAAAAAGCAAGAGTTTTAATTAGTCCGTCAGTTAACTTATCAAAAAATACTCTACACGTATTTTTCACTTTTTCAACCTAATTAAAATTTAAAGAGATAAAGCGCGCCAAAGTTCATAAGAAGAGACCCGTGACGTCAATGCGTGCATAAAAGTGCCGCACGTTGTGACGTCGTGCGGAACTTCAACGCACCATAACTATGTAATTATTTGTTAGATTGACAAATAAAAATATATGTGTCCAATATTTTTCGATATTAAACATGACGGACTAAAAAAATTTTTTTAGGAAACTAGCCTATTTAGACCACTAGTGTGGCACTTATGATAAGACAACTTTAGAGGTTAAGATCCAGGAAGTGGGAATGAGACAAGTATAGTGTAGCAGTGGTCATGACAAAATTCAAGTTTAAAGGAAGAGGGCAGGCGCCATCGCTTGCAGAACTGGTAACCTTTTGACTCGCTCGAGACGACCACAAATTGGAAAATACAGAGTTTGAAGGCCACTCCAAACTAGTGCTGCAAATCAGAGCCCTTCAATCGTTTTTAAATACATAAATAAATTCAAGTCAAAGGCAGCTTTTCAAACCCTTAATGGTATCTCAAATTACTTCACATTAGCTTGTGACCTTAACTACTTACTTTAATTCAATGGCCAAAAGTCTTCACTATGTTGACTCTATCGCCCGTATTCACAAACGATGCTTTCTTAAGTGAAGTAGCAAACCGAACGCACAGCGTTTAATAGAACTCAGTGAATGGTTCATGTGTCTCCCTGTGCGACCACGCGCACTGTGACATCATAGTTAATGTTTGTGAATACGGGCGTATGTTTCAATGCTTGCAGTGGTTCGCGCGGTGCAGGTTGCGTTGCAACAGCTTCCCGTCGAAGTAGAGCCACGGGGCGGGAAACGTTATACGAAGTTTCTAGTGCTGCCATCCCTCTCACGCATACGAGATGCCAGCATGAGTGAAAGTGACAGACAGACCCGAAATTACGTAAACAGTGTTTCGGAGTAGCCCTGCTGACTCGTTTAATAACAACAAGTCTACCGACCTTGACCACAGTATCGAGGTGGTTATCGCACAGCTGCGCCAGATGCTTGCAGTGGTTCGCGCGGTGCAGGTTGCGTTGCAGCAGCTTCCCGTCGAAGTAGAGCCACGGGGCGGGAAACGTTATACGAAGTTTCTAGTGCTGCCGTCCCTCTCACCCAAAGCGAGATGCCAGCATGAGTGAAAGTGACAGATAGACCCGAAATTACGTAAGCAGTGTTTCGGAGTAGCCCTGCTGACTCGTTTAATAAAATCAAGTCTACTGACCTTGACCACAGTATCGAGGTGGTTATCGCACAGCTGTGCCAGATGCTTGCAGTGGTTGGCGCGGTGCAGGTTGCGTTGTAACAGCTTCCCGTCGAAGTACAGCCACGGGGCGGCCACTAGCCAGGGCACGGGCGCGCCGCACGCGTCGTTGGCCATCAGGGCGGCTTCCGCGCCCGCCATCACTAGAGCGCCCAGTTGGACGCCGCGAGAGCTGATGCCGTTCACCTGATACACGGTATTTTTTATTTATTAATAATAATATTGTACCACCTTGTGGGTGGACATCCTACGCTGCGTTTTCCGGTACGCGGCCTCCACTCCAGAACCTGCTGCCCCATCGGCCGTCAGTTCTGCGTACTATGTACCCTGCCCATTGCCACTTCAGCTTACTAATTCATCAGGCTATGTCAACGACCGACGACATCATAAAGGTAGCAGGAAAGCGCTGGACGCAGGCCGCTACCAACCAGGCAACTTGGAAAGCATTGGAGGAGGCCTATGTTCAGCAGTGGACGTCTAATGGCTGAGATGATAATAATAATAATAAGTCATTTATTTCAACACACAGTCATAGGTTTAATGATGATGATGATGAATATTGTACCAGTCCAAATTAAATATTATCCGAGGCAGACGCACGTCACGCATATTGCCGAATGCCGACAGGCAAAAGTGCTCATTGAAAACCTACTTACAGAAAATAAATGAATATTATAAGTTTTTAATAGCCATTGGAGGATTGGATTTTTAAATGGCTTTTTTTTCCTTTTTTTTTTCATTTCATTGATGCAATTTTCGAGCAATGTAAAATTGTCAGGTCAGTGACAATTTTACATTTAAATCTTAGATGGAATAAAACATAATTTTAGTAACAAATTATGTTGTTACGCTATTATAGCGTACTATAATAGTGAGATAATGAACTGCTTACCGTCATTTCTTGCAAATGAAGAGCATTCATGAGATCACTAGAGAAAGCTGTAGCCAAGAACGCATCCAGTTCTTGACGCCTCAGGATTTGGATTTGAGATGTCATGATAAAGCTGAAAGACATAAAACATAATAAGTAACTACCATAATAAAAACTTAAAATTAATAAGTTAGAAACTGAAACTTACCGCAGCACAGTGCCCAATATGAGCAGATGTTGGGGCACATAGGATGTGTTCAGCATTAGCGGTGTATCAGATCGCATACATGAGAGGAAAGCGCGCATACGGCGGCATTTGTCATCCTGAGCGGTTCTGTAAATAAATCAATCAATTTTATGAGATTAAAAAAACAATAGTCCTTGAATTTATGAGTAAGGCCCAGAACAGACGGTGAAACGCAACTGCAACGAAACTGCAACTGCTAGTTACTTTTGAGTTGCATCTAAGTTTCTGCCATAGCGTCCGCTGAGAGACCACACATGACGCGACCAGTTTGAAACTTTCAGTTTCAGTTTCATTCATCAGAATCATCACAAAATCGTCTGTTCTGGGCCTAAGGGTGATAATAGTTCTTAAATTTACGAGTGTAAAGTTGATTATTCTTGTTATTTAAATAAAGCTCACCCGAACCAAAGCCTCTGCACAGTGGGCACTGGCCAATCAAGGCACACTCCTGGCACCATCTCAGCGTTCTTGCCAGGGTTGACGCGCGAGTAAATCCATTCGGATATCTGAACGGTGCACGGTCGATCGTTGTTCGCAGACGCAGATGTAGTGGGTTGGCCATCCTCTACAGAAAAATAAAAGAGTATAATATTTGCGACTTAACTTACCCAGTGTTTTTATTTGAGGAAACCTAAGGCGATGCCAACTATTCTGGTTTTGTCTCATAATTTTCACTCAAGCATAAAATACTTTCTACTAGCGAATGCGTAACATTTTTGTACCTTTGTAAAGGAAATTGATTGATAGTATAAAAAAATATATTGTAGAAATCGAGTTGAAATTAGTTTTACTTTGTGGTAGGAAGGGGGTATTTGTAAATGTTGAACCACTTTACCTTTAGCTTTCTGAGCCATGAAACGATGGTGGTGCATATTATACAGTATAGCGTAAACGTTCTGCCTGATCGGCCGGTAGAAGTGGTGGATAGAGGGTATTTCGCGGTGGTGGTCATCCTCCATCAGAACTGGCAATGCGATTTGTCGGTGGGAGAGTATGGAGAGCATATGCGGGTGCATGAGACCGCGCGCGTGTCTTTCCGCGCACGTGCGAAGTACCTCGGCGGGCGCCGGCGGGCAGTTGTCGTCGTTTGACAACTGCTTGCTCACTATCTGACGGTTCTGGAAAAGATTCAATTGTTTAGGATGTTGTTGAGATTGTATTTAGTTGCTGGGATTGGTGGCATTGTATAGTCTGGTCTGCGAGCACGTAGAATTTTGTCCAATGACCCCAAGCTATCTATCCTTATCGCTCGCGCGTAATTAATGTAATTATGTTGCTGTCGCGCTTGCACACTCACTGCGGGCGCCCGTCGCACAGTTGCGACAGCAATATAATTACGTGCGAGCGATAAGGATGGGTAGCTTGGGGTCATTGGACAAAATTCTACGTGCTCACAGACCGGGCTTTAGTCAATATGCTGCTTTGGTAATCATCTGTAGGATTTGACTTAATGCGTCCAGTCTTTCACTTCTCTGGTATTGAACACAGGATGGCGAAATGTGACAGTTTCCTTTGAATATTTCTAATCGGTGCAATGTTAATTTTAAATATGCGTCTGTGTGAGTTCATATTTTCAATGTTTTTATAATTAACAACTTGTTAAATCATACTGGCAATCGTTATATTAATTACAGTATTCAAGAACATTACGAAACAACATTCGTGTTCTTTGATTGACACACACAATTCCAGTTTAGTAATAGGTTAGCAATTGGTTGTCGTAACAAACATTCATTTCTGCAATGCGAGAAACTGCGTTCAAAGCCTAAAATTACCCTAATATTCCCATGTTATTTAATATCTATATTTATTTATCCTCAGTTCGATAACGTTTGTTACGCATCACCGAATTGACTTAATAATTAAAACACCAATTATTTTCAATGACGGGGAAAACAACGGTAGCATGAATGAATCACGTCTGACGATACCAATCACGCAAGCGGGAACGGGTGCTAGTTAGAAAAAATGTTGTTACAAGAGAATCCGTCACACCTCTTTGGTAGCAGGGGCCGGTTTGTCGTTTTTGTCGTTTACGGCGGGTTTCGATGGCTGCGCGGCGCTCGCGTCTCCTCCGTCCAGTGTCATCGCCGACATCCGCTGGTGAACGTCACTCGTGGCCTCCTCGGTGTTAAAGTCCGCGTTCATAGACGCGTTTGCTGTAGCCAATTTGTAATCTTCCAAGCCTTTTTGCTGTAATTTATTCGTTTTCCAAATAAGCTATCCCGAGTGCTTAGTGTTAAAATAAAATAAATACAAAAGGAATTTGAAAATGAAACAATTATCATAAATAATGGGTCAGATAAGGTGAAAACAAAATGGAATTGTGGATTAAGTTAACACGGCACTGAGACAATTTGAGTAAGATTTTGAAACATGCTGACTTATTGTATGTATGATGCATAATTTAATGGCTGCCAATGTTACGAATGATGTGCAAAAGGCGTGGATGACTATAGCTATTAAAGATGTAAATGAACTTAGGTCAACCTCATTTTCAGATGTTTCAGTCGCCAACTTGGAAGTGTCCAAATCCATGGAAGTTGATTGAGGGCTTATATCTGGCTTTTGGTTCTTTTTGTTAGTCTTTGGTCGACGTCCTGTAAAAGAAATATAATGAGAAAAAATTTTCTTTTTTCAAACTTTGCATCAAGGAATACATACTTACCAGACGCTGTTCTATATTTCAGAAAACCATCTTTGGTCCCATTTAAATAATATTGAACTGCTTGTTTTAGTTTGGCAGCACGCAAATCGTTGAGATCTCCGAATATTTCAATGCAAGCTGCATCAACATCCGAAGATGGTAATTCACGTACAAATTGGCACACAGTCTTAACCAAAGTTTCGGGAGGCACTTGCTGAAAATAAACAAAACATTTTAGAAGTTATGACACTTGAATTTAAAGTATGAAGCAAATATAAAAAAATATAATTTCTGTGACGGGTCTGGGTGTTTTCTATGTAATATGTATGTATTTACAAAAAAAAAGTATATAAGTATGTTTATCCCGTCGTCTAGTACCCATAGTACAAGCTTTGCTTAGTTTGGGGCTAGAGGCGCAGTGTAAAATGTCAAAAGATATTTATTATTTATTATAATATTGAGTGAATTTACCTTCTTTTGTGTGATTCCTAAGCGTTTATAGAAATCTGTAAGGCTATGCTCAGACAGAATTGTGCCTCCGAGGAGAGCAGCCATAAGGCAAAGCCGATCCTGAGGTACATCTAGGACTTTCGGCAATTCATGCACCATGTACTCTTTTGTCTCCAAAGATGACTGTAAACAAAGCCATAAATTAATATTAATGTTTTTTTTTTTAATTTTTAAAGAAAACAGTAACAATTTTCTAAAAAATAATAAATAAATACAAACGTTGTACTTACTCTGTATGTTAGCTTGAGTTGGGAGGAGCTGAAGTACCTTGGTGGTTGGAAAACTAAATACTCCCCAGAGCAACCCACCAAACCAGCGTAAGACTTTTCTCGGCACAATCCAACCACTTCTTGGCAGTGGTCATCAGAAGATACCATCTAAATAATAATTGAAATAATTATCATTACTGTTCTCATTCTAATTTTAAAGTAAAAAATACATAATGATAGTAACATTCTTACAATGGGTATGTTAAGGTATCGCAGAGCAGTTCTCAAGCAGGAATGCAGTCCTGTAGGTGGGACCCACCATACTTTTGGCGGTGGTGTACCTTTCATTACGATGTGGCGCAAAACCTGCAAATTTTAACAAAAATTATGAATAATGTCTAAATTAATAATAGGATTAGAAGGGAAGCACAGAAACTTACTATCAACAATCTCAAAGGTGAAAACCATTCAAATTTAAAACTAGATGTAGAACTAAAAGAAGTTTAATTCTATTTCAATGCAAGTCAATTAAAAATATCTGAGAGCAAGGGCAAAACTTTGCAAATATGTGAAAATTACAAAACAATTGATTTCAGCTCTGCATGTGCAAGAACTTGCGAGTAAAAAATAGTAAAGATGACAGTAATAATAAAAAAATGACACTAACAGAGTTGACTCTCTGTCTGTAAGTTGCTTGAGTTTGGATCCAATGCTGTGGCGTGGCTGGTGGTGCAGGGTGGGCTCCGTTAAAGCACACACACAAAGGAACTTGGTGCTCGGCCAGGGCCTGTGCTAATGTAGTCAAAAACTGAACGCACCGGGCCCATTGTCCTCCACATGCCCAATCTAAAAATACATTAATTATTAATATTATATTTAGACACATCTACAGGAAGAATTGTAGTATAGCTTAGGGATGGGAAGGGAAATGACATGGAAGTATCTAAATCTTTCCAAAAAGAGGGGCTTAGATAGTAGTAGCTCAAGAAATAGGTGTTTTAATTTCATACAACTACCTACCCTACCAATATTTTCAAAACTATTTATTTACATCTGATGCAATTACTTTAATTTGATTTATTCAAAAATAACACTTCCATTACTCAATAGGTGGTAAAGATAGGTTTATATTTTATGCTCAATACTGGCTCCGAAAAGTGACACGATATTTAAATATTTTGTGGAAAAATGGGTACATATAAATACCTGAAAAAAATCCTCCATAGAGGCGGTCTAAACATCCTTCAGCGTCGAGCACCAGCCGAAATCCACCTGCCTGATTTCTAGCGATTCGAAATAAATCAACTCCAACTCCTTCATTTTCTAAAAATGTTTGTAAATCTTGTATACCCATGATTGTATGTCACGGGCTTCGGCTACGACGGTAAATAGCGATTCGATCGAACACGGTCGTCTCAACAAATAAAAGGTCTGCAAAATAAATTTTAGCAGGTTAATTCACAAATATTTATTAACAATCGTATTACAACAACAAAAGTATCAGTTTTTGCATTTATATCAACAAAAAATACCACGAAATGGACATCACAACCGGCATGATATTTATAAAAAGGTTAACTACATTATCTTCAGAAACTAAAGTAATCTTCAAGAAAACGAGTAATTTCAATCATATTTCTACACTATAGATAGTAAAAACACAAACCTCGATTAGAAAACCATGCCAGCAAAGAATTACGATTGCCGAAAGTTGAAAACGGAAGCCATTTGTAATTTTTAACCCTTTAGCTCCTCCTTGACACACAGGCACTTGTCTATGAATGAGCTCTATGGTTAGAGCTCAGTTAAGTTGATAACTATTTATCCTCATGTAACAATGATACGATCGTAATACGATTAGTAATTGAATAATCGAATCCGTGTACCATAGACAAAATACTGTGTGATCTGTGATGTGTGGTTGTCAAAATTAAATGTCATTTAGTCGATTTGATTAATTTTCCGTGTTTGTACTTGTATTGTGTTCTTTCCCTGTTATTTGGGCGTTGTAAATTGTAAAAACATTATAATGCAAAATAATTAAGAAAAGGAATGTGCATATAACGTTAGTAACATTACAAGATGAGTATATCTGTACAGTAATCGTTTCTAAATAATAAAATGCTTTAGAGCTCCTGTATGCAGTTAGACCATCAGCAACTTTATAATCGGCTATAATTAAGATCACAAACATACGATATGCCGGAGCAAAGTAATGACTATCGGGTGGTGGTTTTTGGAGCGGGTGGTGTAGGGAAAAGTTCACTGGTTCTTCGATTTGTGAAAGGAACCTTCAGGGAGTCATACATACCGACGATTGAAGACACCTATAGACAAGTAAGTGCATTGTACTCATTGAAAAATTGATAAAATAATGACGCCTTCTTTCTTTCTTGATTATTTACTGACTTTGGTTAAATATACAAATCAATTTTAGTTTGTATGAGTTCTGAAGAATAATAATTTTGTGCTGTTTTATCAGTCCACTCCTCAGATGTTCTGAGAATAAGGTAAAATAATTATGTGTATTTAATGTTGTATAGTAAATATTAATTTAATAACTTTATGGTGAAAGTAGCCCTGAGCTTATTGAAATTTTGCCAAAGGCCATGACATGGTTGTTTGGAAAACAGCCAAAAAGATTCACTACTTACTTACTACTACCCCTTTTAAGGAATAATAAATTCGAAGATACATTGATAAAAATTATTACAATATTTTACAAATTATCAATTCATCAATAATCTCTTTTGATAGTTTAATTTATATTTTAAAGACCATTGGATAAGTTCCTTTGGAATAGTTGAGAATGTTTAATAAAGTACAAAAATAGTACCAATTTTACCCATTATTCAAAATTAAAACCTATAATAGAATAGAATAGAATGTGGTAACAAGTAAACATAGTCACATTATATTTTCATGTTAACTTTCAGGTTATCAGCAGCAACAAAACTATTTGCACATTGCAAATCACGGATACAACTGGTTCTCATCAATTTCCTGCAATGCAGAGGTTATCCATCAGTAAGGTGCATATTTTTTTCTTCAATAAACAAGTCCCAAAGCATTAAGTCAACCTAAACTAAATTGAATGAAAAAATTATACTGTTAAATTTCAAGATGCTTGCTAAGAGCACAAATATAATAACACTAGTCTAAGAGGGATGAAAAAGATAAATAATTTAATTCATAACAAATTCCAAACATGTATTTTTCAGGGCCATGCATTCATATTGGTATATTCTGTAAGCAGTCGACAATCACTCGAGGAGCTGAAGCCTATATGGCAGACGATAAAAGAAATTAAAGGAGTGGACCTACCCAACATACCTGTAATGTTAGCAGGGAACAAATGTGACGAGAGTCCAGAAATACGCGAGGTTTCTGCATCAGAAGGACAGAGTCAAGCTCAAGCCTGGGGTGTTTCTTTCATGGAAACATCTGCCAAAACTAATCATAATGTCACACAGCTTTTCCAGGTTAGTTATGGCTTTATTTTTTTTGTGCTCTCATGCCATTATCTCATTATGAGGGGAATTAGATAATATGAAAATATTTTTTTATTTATTTTTATTTATTTATTATTATATTATTTAGCCATTACATCTTTGATTTAAATAGTGTCTTAAATCCTCTTGAGGTTTATTTATTTATTTATTTGTAATAGGTAAACAAACAGTTTATTGTCTAGACACTATTGTTCTCTATACAATATGGAAACTGGGTGATTGCACATTGTTGCATCTTAGCATTACTGTCACTTACAATAAAATTATCTATATTTAAGTATTATTTTCGATCGATCAACATGGAAAGCATTGGGGGAGGCCTATGTTCAGCAGTGGACGTCCTATGGCTGAAATGATGATGATGATGATGAAGTATTATTTTGTGAGCAATATGACTTTATTGAAATATATTTTAAGTAAATAAATGAAATAAAACATTAAAGTGATTTATTTTTCTCATTTTCCCAGGAACTATTAAACATGGAAAAGAACAGAAATGTATCCCTGCAGGTGGATGGCAAAGGAAAGAAGAAAAAAGACAAAGTAGTGAAAGAAGGTGAAGCATCGGCTAGCGGTCGAGAGAAATGTCTTGTTATGTAATACGGTAACAAATTAGAACGATTTTAAAACCCAACTTTGAAATATTTAAGTACACAGTCATTTTACTTCTAGTCATTAAAACATGGTCCTGGAGGTTAAAGCACGGATTTATCCATAAGTATTTATTGTATTTTATGAGAATTGTAGTACCTAATTATTATGCCTTCATTATTTTCATTAAAACGGAGCTTGAAATTCATCAAAGCAAGAATATTTTGCTATATAGTACTTACATTAAGTTATTTACACTAGTTACATAATTAATGATGACTGACATGACACAGATATGTTGATTAAATCCGTATTGTTAGTGCGAAGATACAACGAAATGAAGTCTATAGGACTTAACTGTTATTCAATTGTATGCTGGTAAGTGTAAACAATAGACATAGTTTGTTGCGTTTAGCTCTAATAATTGTCTGAAGCAGATTTCATATTAATAATAATTGTTATCATTAAACATAATAATGTGCCACTGCAGCAATCTTGGTGGTGGTGGAACAAGTGCCTAATGTTTTTTTATACATACAGACAGCTATCATATATCTACTGTTTTTTATGATTATTATTTGTTATTATCGATGTATTTTAGCTACAAAATGATAGTAATTTCAATTTTCAGGAATTATAATATTTTGAATGTGAAAACTGCTTCAGCAAAGCAAATAGGCTTAGCAAAGTAAGGTGTGAAAGTAACTGTTCCTAGTCACTTTTATTTTTAACATTCCAAGCTAAATTTCTAGTCCCTAGTGATGTTTTCATCTCGTAAGTTACATAAAATTACAAGGATGAACATTGAGAGCATGATAGCATTGTGAGAATTTTTTAATTGTGCCAAATTAATAATCTATCACTAACATTTTTTTCTGCATTTACATTCTTAATACGCTGAAACTTACCTTTATAAAAGGTATTTATGAATAGTTTAACATTCACAGTTTAGCAGCACAAGACGTATTCCGAGTTTTGCAATAATTTCACTGTTTAGAGTTCATCAAGTCTCACTTTGGCTTTAGGGCACCTTTTTATGTAGAATTCTCACAATGATGATGAATGTTTTACTGTTAATGTAATTTGATTGGGGCACAGCCATCATTGGTCCGATTTTCATCAGATTCCGCTGTCAGATATAAAAATGTAAATTTATCAAATAATTTAAAAACTTCTATGTAAACTATTGCGTCAAACAGCGTGGGTGGCTAGTTACCTTAAATAACATCAAATCACATAAATACAATGAGCATGTAATTTTAAGTATACATAGATGTCTTTGATGGTATGATTGGTTGATACCATGGTAATATGTTCAGCCACATAATACTTAAAAGTAATTTTATTTAGTCTGAACTTCAAACAACATTTAATGTTATTAGTAACAATCTAGTCATTATTATTAAAATGTAGCAGTCGCTAGTTTATAATGCACTTTATTTATATCATTCACAACATATCCAATTAGATTTGTCCATATTAATATTTAAAGTTTTAATTAGTCAATGACCATCGTCATGTATCTAGTGAGGTATTTTATTATAATACGAGTGACAGTGCAACTTTATTTTAATGTGTGATTTGGCAACTAAATATTCCAGTCTATATAAATCTTAGGATGTTTGTACTGTTAACACTTTCCCCATATTAATGCATGCATTTTTATGTGTTACTTGTACCTTAATATCACTACACATTGTTCACGAAATTTGGTCTTTGCAAAAATATTTGCACTGTGTGTAATAAACTTTATTTGGCTTATTGGCAGTATCTGAATATTTATTGTAAGTAAACTATGAAAAAAATTGTTAACACTGTATTGTTAAAGCTGGACCAAAGTTGTTTGATGTTGATTGATGTAAGTTTATGATAGTTTTCATTTTGTCTGTTGACTTAAATGTTTTTGATAATATTCATCTGTTCTTTACTATAAATCTATAAAAATTTCATGCCCCGGCTGTTGCAAACTACATTATGATTAAAAATGTATGTAGTAACGTTAAAGTGGTTAAAGTCATGAAAAAGAGACATCAATGGAAAAGACATTCCGCACTTATTGCGTATGACTTTGGTTTAGTGAAATGAATTAAATTATTTAAAAAATCTAAATGAATCGGTAATTTTGATTTTTTAAAATCTATTTTCTATTGCTATTTTCCCTGAGCGATATCTACCATCCCTAACTCGTGAAAGCTTCTCCATGGATAATGTTTATGAGTCACTATCACAAAAATTACAATTTCAAAGCGGATTTGAAAATTGAGTACCAATTCAACAAGTACTTACCTATGTACAGTCAGTATCAAATAGTTCGTGACACCCAAAGTAGCCAAAAAGTTCGCAACACGTCTTTGTTACGTTTAGAATACGGTTGAGTAGTCAACTTTTTGGCCAATTTTTTGACGCTGACTTAAAACGAACGAACAAACGTACGTTTGCTGTTCGTGTATAAAGTACCTACTTTTTCATGGGCAAGAAATTAATGTGGTAGCACGAAGAAGTGACCGCCACACCATTATCAATTTACGAGTACCTAATAAAGATGGCAGAATTGTTGATCAGGGAAGTCTTGGAATGAAATGAAAATACGATCTTATAGAAACGAATCTAGTCTATCTTAATTTGAATTAATTCTTAAGCTAATTTGTATTGTTTTATTTAATTATTTTTAAGCTGCAGTAGGTATGATAGTCGGCATTTTTCAAAACGCTTTAAATCGACATTTGAAACTTCTGATTGAAATCACCGCACATAAATTTTACTACACATCCGTTTGTTGCCAAATATCTCGTAAGAGCTTTTTGCCACATTTTGGGGCCTTATATTTTAAACATTGTCTGATGCCTCTATGTCTAGTAGTTCAACGAAAATAATATTGAAGAAGTAAGACTTGTTTAGTGTCTAGTAGTTCACTAGGTAAATTTAATTAAAAATAAAGCATGTGAAAACATTCGAGAGAATCAATACAAAAAACATTGTGATTTTTTCCATATAAAAAGCTATTCAGCTGCAATTTTTTTTTACCTTTGAGGTACTGATACTGAAGAGTCAATTTCGTTGAACTAAAAGTCTGGTCTAATGTAATTTTCCCTTGAAGACTCTACTCACTCGTACTTAAATTCTCCTACTAATAACGCTTCTAATATTCTTCGAAATGGTGCCCATTATATTATATGGCAATAATATTATAGTAGTTAATAGATATTTCATCTTACATTTAGCATTTGAATAGTGACTAGTTATCTTGATAACTAAAGATAGGGTATTGTCCTTAGACAATTTGTCTGAGCATTAACACTTGAACAATGTCAATATCTTATGAAAAATTATAAACAAATGAAAGGTTGTTTTAATTACTATTTTGCTTGTTATTCCATTATTTTACAAAACATTCCTTACTTTATACATTGACAGAAAAATGTTTATTGCCATGGTACAGGTGATTTTTGTGAAAAAAAGTGAATCAATTTTATTTGTTTAAAATGTTTTTTTTTTAATTAAGCATATGAAAGAAAAAACAAATTCCATATAACTTGCTACTTGTAACACTATGAGTACCTATACTTTGAGAATTTTGATTGATTCAGATCTTATTCCGTCTACCCAAAACTTTCCCTGTCCATTAGTACAAATGGATAAGCCATTAATCGCATCATACTTTTAAAGGGACAGGGACATGGGAGCCTGTTAAGATTAATATTCGCGTAATATTCTTAAAATAAATAATGCCAAAATGCATTTTTTTTTGTTGATGTTAATTTATGGTTGTTCTGCAAGTTGGTCTTGTAACAATTATGTAAGCATTGACATCTGCATAGAGGGATTAGTCCATGATGCGGTTAAGTTTCGTCTGTAGATGTAGGGTAGCCTGATAGGATCGCGTCATTTTTTTCATAGCTTGGCTCGGGATGAGCGAGAATATTGCAAGAGCCGTATTTTGCTCATCCAATTTGGAGTGATGTTTGTAGTTGTAAGTATATTGATTTGTTACACTGTTATTTATTGAGGTTGCGAATGTTTGTTGACCAATAACGGAATAGATTGTACCTAAATAAGTATTTGAATTGTAACTAGAATTTGCTTGAAACAACGTCAGTTGATTTATTTTATATAAATAACGCTTAGTGTATTTGAACTGAAAATTTCAATTTATTATTATTGTATTTTTAATTGATCTTGTGACACTTCTAACTAAGGCATCACGAAATAAAACTTAACATATTATTCAAAGCTTTTATTGAAATTTTTTAGTAATAATTATAAATATGGTAAAAGTATATCACAGATATTTTCCTTCAAATAAGGCAGTAGTTTTAGTACTATCCTTCAAGTAGCTCTACGCATTTCAGCAGGACAGTCAATAAAAAACCTTCAACAGTACATCAGTCTAAACACTAGCATCTCGTGTAGTTGTTATAGGAGAGTATGTATGTAAATGTAAAATCTTGATGTGCTATCGATTATATCAGCAACTACAATGGAAAACAATTATGAACGTTAGTACGAATACATGCGATTAGATTTCATTATATTATACAATACAAAAACACTTAAAAACATAAGATACTAAGTTGATTTTTATATTACCTACCTAATTTCGACATTTGTGATTAAATTAAAACGACACTTAATTTATTACAAGTCTGAAAACATTACTACATTAATAATAAGCTTTTTATTTTGTACCACAACATAATTAGTTTACTTTTAGCATTAAACGATTAGCGACTATTTTAAGTCTATTTCGAACGTTATTGAACAATAAAACGTAATCTGACTTAGATTTCTTAGAATAGTTTCTTAAAGTTGAAAACTTTACTTAAGTTTTTAATTTTTTTTTTAATCAACAACTTTATAAAACTAAATAAACAAGTGTTATACATAGTAGGTAGATACATGGTAGGTAGTAGTGTATTCAGGGTGTCAAGTCCTTCTTTTAAATTTTCAGTTCCTTATATTTGCCAAGCCAATAACGTCTTTAGATTATTTACGACTGTCACCACCACCAATCATAAATAAGGGCTTAGTCCTTTTCCTTGTCGTGGATTCGGGGGCATCATAACTATTTACTGACGAGCTAGGCAGGCGTCCAGTACTCGCAGACCTTTTAATTGTGGAGATGGGACTAAAAGATGTGGTTGGTGCAATTTGTGGTACATTTCGCGAAGTATCTAGAGCGCGGGAGCACACGTCCAATATCCTTTCTAACGTAGCACTGCTTATTCTATCTGTATTTTCGTTCGATGGAGAATTGCTACTTGTATCTACATTTAGTGAACGTTTACATTGTTTTACTCCAATACTCATCAAGCCAAATAGATTTAGGCTGAAGGGAATGTTAAGTATGTAATTAAAAATAATCATGACTAGCAATACTATCAGCATAATATTTATAGATATAATTAATATACAGTGTAATATAACATCCAGCGGGAACCAGAGTCCACCTGAAAAAAATATGGAAGGTATCAGTCAAATGCATACCTACTCAAATAATGTGTATGTTTGGAAAATTTTAATACTCAAAATATAACATTGATGATGTCACTACTTTATGTTTACAGTTTGATAAGTTCTCTCTTCTCTCTCTCAGCTTGAGAGAACATTCTATAGTATAGGTGCACACTGGGCGACAGTCGCGGCGACTAGACGCCCATTCTTGTGTAAGAATAGGTGTCTAGTCTCCGCAACTGTCGCCTAATGTGCGCCTACACAGTCCTCAATTTTGTTTTATATAAATGAAGTCTACAAGAGGCACCTGCCAACAATAGTACATAAATGTATTTTTTATTCCTTGGTGGGTATCTAGGTAGGTAGGTAGATGTGGGGTTATTGGTAAATAACATAAATTAAATATAGCTTCAGAAATAAGTAAGTATCATAACTGTACCTGTGATTTCATTTATCATTGTGTTGACTGTACTACTCAGCACCAACATAGGTTCAGACAGAAATGTGGTGAACATTCTAATGCCAATTTTTAGTGGATTCATGTGCTTCATGAATATTATAGGATCAGGTGGAGGGACTTCACATGAAGATTTCCAAAAATGCCAGCTGCATTTATTTACAGCTGATAGAAATCTGTCCAGTTCTTGTTTCTCTGCTTCCTGAAATAAGAACATTTAAAACCTTTTATGAGACATGTAAAAACCAAACAATAATATGAGACATGTAAACATCTCAAGTAATAGACAGGGTCTACAACATACTCTGTCTATTACAAGAGATTTATTGTTTAATGTATGAATTTAGCATTTTTGGGATTAATGTTGTTAAATTAATAAAGATTAGATTCGTTTTTGTTTTGTTAAAGTAATCTTTACTAATATAAATACCTTATATGATATGACTACTTCATAAAGATACAATGCAGCAATGACTAGTATGATAACATGTTTATGAGACATGTGCATCCACAGCCAAAACAACACACCAAATGCTGCTAAACCTCCACAACACCATGTGATATAAGTCTGAAAAGATAGAGGTAGATATTACACACTACACCACACAAGACAAGAAATAAAAGAGATGGCACAATTTAGGTTTTACTACAGCAGGGGTGGCCAACTTGATTAGACATAAGATCTACTGTTTACTAACGAAACCCTGGGTGATCTACCACTTACATACTTCTTGAAATCTTAAATGAAACAGCATAGTTTAGTACACAATCATGTAGTATTTTTTGCCTTGCCACGATCGACTGGACCAATAGTCGCGATCGACCACACCTGTACCACAGAATAAGTAATAGTACAGGTACAGAAGGATTACTCCGCAAGACGATTTAAATAAATACGAGTCTTGCTACGACGCGATACAGTGGAATTCAGCTCGCACACCACTACGTACCTACAATTTTATTCACCTACAAGTTTTGTCTCTTTCTATCGCGTGCCTCTGAACTCTTCTTACGCTGTTAGGGTTGCTGTCTAGTAGTGTCTAGTAAAAAAATAATTAATCTACTTATTTGTTATGAGGTACGTATGTAGGTAAGTACGCATTCATTATGGAAAACCTTGGGAGAGGCCTTTGCCCAGCAGTGGACGTCATTTATTTTGGCTGAAACGAACGAACGCATTCTGAGCAGTAGTCATGGTAGGTTAGGTTCCTATACTATCCTAAGAATTATTGATTACCTACATGGTCAACATACCTTTCAGCATCTTTGGGAAGCGAAAAAAAAGATAAATCCGGTAGTATTCTTTTCGAATTTAAACACCCGAACGCCGCACAATAATATTTCTTTTTCTTTATGTCCATTTTTAAATAATACTTCGATCATAGAATTAGTTACTACAACGCACGCCAGCGTCCTGACGAGCGCGCGCGTGACACTCGACTGATATAACACCCGCCGGCGGGGCGCTTCACTGTAGGTAATTATCGGATGTACCGCGCGGAGTGAGCCAGGCCTGCCTGTACTACAGTAATTAATGTTAAGTTATTAATTTTACCTTGTATTCTATGAATAACGACTGAATATATTCACTCCATGCTATAGCAACTTTCTGTGCAAGAGAAGGTTTGTAAACAGCTTCTTCTACATAGGCAACTGCACGGCGAAACATATCTTCAGTCAGTGCAGTGTTTGATGTTGTGTAGTCCTTCAGGGTTTGCCAATGATCCTGGTCGAATTTTAACAGCAGGGATATATCGGTACTGCCATCTTCGTTTAACTGTAATTTATAAAAAAAAAAAAAAAAAAAAACAATCATGAATTGACAAGACAAATGACAATGACAACAAAAGTTGCAGCGAAGCGAAAACTAAAACTCGAACTGAAATTACGAAAAATTATCTTTCGCTAATATTTTTATAACACAATGTCTTCTATCGACTTTGATCCGTCTATAAAATTGTGTCTAAAATATTTGCATTCCAGTGCTCCTGATTCAACCGAGCAGTTAAGGTTAACTCTCGATGATATTATTAAGCAGACTTACGGCAATTCTAAGACCTTGGGCAATGTTTTGCCGAAGAAATATTTGGCTGATGAGAAGATGGGATCTCCTAGATCGAAGCATAAAAGTGATAAAGCTTCTAGTAGTAAGACAGTTCCCATTCCACAGCAAAGCCCTCAGCAAATACAGATCCCTGAGCGAGAGAATGATGACGGGTCTGTGATGGATGGCGAGCTGGCCTTCGACCTTTTAGAAGAAGATTTGACCTGTGCAGTGTGCAGGCAAATAGCTGTTCAGGCTGGCAACCGCTTAGTTGAGTGTGATGCCTGCCATGCTCTGTATCATCAGGTATTTATCTAACTAATTATTAGTAACATAAATGAGTACAATGCTCAATGTTTGTTTACAGTTAAATTAATATATTTTATTTTCAGGACTGCCACAAGCCGGTAATAAGTGACAACGATATGGGCACTGATTGGCAATGTGCATCATGTCTTTCGTCTCAGGGGTTTTCTGCTGGATATCCAAGCAAGGTTACATCTGAGGCCAAGTCCCCTACTCGCATATCCGGATCAACCACACCGGTTAAGATTTCATCGAGCAGTTCCTCTTCTTCGTCCCCATCTAAAGTTGTTACCCCTAACATCAATATAATATCAGCTGATAAACGTCTCCAGAACATGAAGAAGAAAGCAGCAAAGCAACACGAAAAGAAGAAAAGCTCAAAATAAATTAGTCTCGCTGTCATGTTTTATGATTATAAATAGATTATGAACAGATATCCAATCCTAATAATTGTAAAATCCAATTATTCCTCCTATAATCTTACTTCAATAAAGAACCATTAAGTGAATATCATGTTTTTTTAATATCCTGTTTCTTAATTAGTACAAGCTTTGCTTAGTTTGGGACTAGGATATCCAAATTTCCAAGGATATTTATTTATTATTATTTATTAAGGTTTCACATAAAACTTTCTAGGATGCTTCATATAAATTTTCGTTACTTTATTTATTTAGTGGAGCCCATTTTTCTTCCTGAAACATTTCTTATGTTTTTATGACAGAATAAAATATGTGGGAGTCATTGGTCAATTTTAAAACTATTAGGGATTATTTTTAGATCATATTTTCTTTTTGGCAGCTATGTAGGTACTGGTAGGTATTTCACTTAAATTATAGGTAGGTATATCACATCAGTCCTAAACACTGCACTGTAGTTAGCTAGTATGAATCAGTGTCTCCGCTTATGGTATTCTTGCTTCGTTCGTTCGTTTCAGCCGAAAGACGTCCACTGCTGGACAAAGGCCTCTCCCAAGGATTTCCACAAAGACCGGTCCTGCGCCGCTCGCATCCAGGCACCTCCCGCGACCCTCACCAGATCGTCGGTCCACTTAGTGGGAGGCCTGACCACGCTACGTATTCTTGTTAAGCAAAATCAAAATCAAAAATATTTTATTCAATTTAAACCAGTATTTTGGCAGTCATGCTCCATCCGCGGGTCGTCGTAAGAGGCGACCTAGGGACTAAGTACACATTAAACAGAAAAAGGGCAGCAGCACACTGATAAATCTTTTAAACTGCGATCTCAAACCCGCCTGCCAAGCGTGGAGATTTGTGGGGCTTTCCCTGCCAGATGCGAAGGGCCTATATCTACCATCTACTTAGTAGGTACCCACTAAAACCTGAGACAGTGCATCCTCCAAAGTCTATCAACGGAACTGCGAGTTATTGTTCGGGCTGGACAGCCTAATAGATCTTCTTATTCTTACGCAGCTCTGTCTCTGTAGAGCAAGCGATGTCTGACTAGGATTTTTTTTTGTTTGATGGCATAAGACGGATTATTCTACTTTGTTCACCTAGTCCTAGGTGATATCATATAACCTGGGTGAAGAGTGGAATGGAATTTTTAGTGTCCTCATTTTACCTCGGAACCATTTCATTTAGCAGTCGCCTTTGTTTAATTCACCCAGGTGAACAAATGCGAAAATGGGTGAATTAATTCCTAGGCGAACAAAGGCGACCGCTTTAGTCGAATCAAGTCACCAGGGTGAAATGGTTGACACTAAAACTTCACAAACAACTTCACCCAGGTGAACAAAGTGGTATACTTAGTCCTATAATACTTACTGCACTGAAAAAAAAACGAGAAATTACTTAAGTACGAGTAACACTGAAAATCCACTGTAATTCATATTATTATTTCTTCAGGCGATTTTTCCATTTAGGTAGTAGATACCTAGGTACCTAGTATGTTTATCAAATCAGATGTTGCTAAAGCAATTAGTAGGTACAGTTACATATTCGGGAATAACCATATTAATCACTGCATGTTAGAATTCATGTTAGAATTAAAACTGAACTGGAACTGAAATCAAGAATAGGTAGGTAAAGATTTTTTTATGCGGCTCTGTTTCTGTAGAGCAAGCGGTGTCTCTTTATGGTTATTTTTGTTTGATGGCATTAGACTGCACTGAAAACTACGAGAAATTAACACTGAAAATCCATTGTAATTCGTATAAATTATCATTTCAGACGATTTTTCCATTAGTAGGTAGGTAGGTACCTAGTATGATAATCAGATGTTGCTAAAGCAATTACAGTTACATATTCGGGAATAACCATATTAACCACTGCATGTTAGAATTGAAACTGAATTGAAACTGAAATCAAGAATACAGATTTTTTATTTTCACGACCCGACGATGTAACCAATCCTGAGAAAGTCGTCCTCTTATTGGCCGAATGCTAGAGTTGGGCGTTTCGGGATAGATAGGGATGCTGCATCGTTTCAACCGACACCCTTTTATTTCAGACTCTATTAAAAAAGCAGTAGAGTTTATGTTACCGTGTAGAGATTCTGATACTCTGAAGATATTGTTACGCCTCCTGTAGATTATCTTTTTGGAAAATACTCTCTTAACTGTGCAAGATTAGTTTCAGGGCGGAGTGCTGCGTGGGCGGTATCACTAGAATGGTATCCGCTCACAATATCAGTTTGTGAAACCCGTGAAAGTGTCGAAAAGTGGTCAGTTTTTGTGTTGATAAATTATTCCTTTTTGGCTAAACCAAGGGTCCTAGCTGTTTTAGTTTGTCTAGCTGAACTTCTATTAAGGTAAATTTTAAATAACTAAAAATTATTATCTACAACTATCATCTACTCGTACCTTCGTACCTTATTATAGGTACTCGCTTACTTATTTTGCACACTTTAGCTTTTCACAATTAGGTAACGACTGTTTTTGGTCCTACTGGTAGGTAAGGTTATCATATCTAAAACTAAGTGAAATTAGTTATGTTTTATTCCAGTATCTAACCATTACTTACCTATTTAACTACATGGATGGGCATAGAGTAAAATAATATTGCATTGCTGATTTTGAAGTTTTATTTTTTAGGCTTTGTCTATCCAATAATCTGCAGGAAGAAGTTTTAGGTAATTTGAATTTCTTTGTTTCATTACTTAGAATAAGTAGGTAGTTTCTAAGCAAACGTCTGTCCATCCAGAATCTTGATCATGAATCAAATCAACACCGGGCGAGCGCGGGTGCCGAAGTGCGCGCGGTGCCGCAACCACGGCCTGATTTCCAGCCTCCGCGGGCATAAGAAAGCCTGCGCCTACAGGCACTGCCAGTGCCCTAAATGCGGGCTAATCAAGGAACGACAGCGCATCATGGCTGCACAGGTATTTAGATTTTTTATCCACAACGAGGAAGATCTTGGCCTGCATCTCACCTGATGGAAAGTGATGATCGGGCCGAAGGTGGACTCAAGCTTCACCCGATATCCTCTACCACAGAGGAACTGGGTATCTTACCTACCTCCAACAGCCGGAACACAACAATATTCTTCTTATTGTCGTGTCGACAACAAACCTACAGAGCGTCAGTCCAAAACTCCGCCACAAGAATGGCGTTGTCAGTAGCCTTCACACAATATTGTTATGGCGATATACTTAGGTAAGCTGGTGGTAGCTAGCCAGGCGGTTTTAGAACCAAACCGAACAGAAAAATCTGCCCCCACTGGAATCGAACCCGGGACCTCTGAGTCTGCCTAGTATTTTGGTCTTATCACTAGATTAGAGGCAGACATAGTCCTTCCCACCTATTGCTCTTAGATCTATTGCTATTCATATAATTATAATATGTCAATACCTAATATTTTATGCCTGTCTACGATTTTACCTTTGTGTCATGTCAAGAATATTACATACAAATAGGAATTTTTATTTATTTCCATAGTTAACTTACATAACTCGAATTTACTATACCGTAACCAAAAGGCATTATCTGCTAGTTAACCTTTTTGACCTAAACAAAAAAAAATCTTACGCAGTAGGTACTTAGTAAAATATGATTTATCAATGTAAATTATTCATGTCTATAAAATTTAACGGTCGTGAAGTTGCTACTATTAATTTATTTAAATCTACTACATAGTAGTAGTACTTATTATTATTCTGTGATAGTAGTAATAAGGATAGTAGGTAAGTAGTAAATAAGTTTAAAATAATCAAAGAATAATTACTTAGGTCTATCTTATTTAACATGGAAATACTACATTCAGTTAAAATGCACAACGCTGCACTTTTCATTATTTAAAAGTCCTACGCGTTACCTAGTTGCCATCCAACGACACTAACAGAAAAGTTCCAATATGAACTTCCAATTCCAAAATAACTGCAATTTGGAGGCGTTAATGTGTTTTAATGTAGTGAAATCGAGCCGGGCTAATGCGGCGCGGTTTATTTGGACAAGTGGCTCGTGTTTACCGCCACGCCGGATGAACCATCGATCGTGTACACAGTAATGCATCCATGTCCCACTCTCATCTCGAATTCATCATTTTATCGGACGCATTTAGGTTAAAACAACGAGTTACGATTTAGATGTATAATTAAAATACTTTAGTAAAAATAATAATTAGTTAAAATTGAGAAACGTTCAGTTTCTTGAGTCTAAAATATCATCTCGGAGGGGAGATAAGCTGAAAAGCTTGTCAGGTATTTTTGAATTACCTCTAACTATAAAGTTTGGATGTAATTTTGATCGTTTTTGTAATAGGGCTGACTTATTTCTCTTTTAACCGCATAAAGGCAATAAAAGTGATGTTTTCATCAAGCTGGAACTGAGAAATCACCCGGAAACGTGAAATAATGATGTATTTGTACAACAAACCAAAACAGATCGTCCGGGCAGGAGCTAACTGATATAAATTCCGCAGCGGTTCAGTAGATTTGATTTTCGGGATCGAGTTTCGTTTGCTTTACCAATGAACCTGTCTCGTAGGGGCCGCCACAGCCGCGGGCGTTCCCCGTGGTGACCGCTCGCCACTACACAAACATGCACTGTTTGTCATTGATTTTCCGCCAAATTAATTTATCAGATTAGGATTTCTCTGTGATTGTGTGAACACGCGTTAGATTTCCATTTTTGTAGAGCGCTACGATGCTACGGATTCTACATGCTACGAAATAACTTTAGGTACAGGCCACACAGCTTCGAGTTTCGCCTGGGCGGCTAAAGCTACGTTGCACTCTTAATTATGCTTCTCATTAAGCGTTAAGGGCTGCTATCCAAATATGGCACGTTCTACTAAACAATCATTTAGGGTTAACTCCTGAAACACGTTCTGGAATTATACAGATTTTATCCAATCAATTTCTAATTTATGCTGGAAAAGTTACGAGGACTGGGGGCTAGGCTAGTGAGCTGAGACAAAGCTGGGCGGGGGGCTGTTGTCATATTTTAATAAAGAAACTTAGAAGATAACAATATGGTTCAGTACCTATTGTTAGAAACGTCGTCGCAGTTTGTAAATTTTTCAATAATTTTTGAAATAGGTAGCGCTGAAACGACAACAAGCGGCTGAAGACAAAATTGCTCTACATTTGGCTTCCGTGGAGACTGGGACTTCTTTGGAGAGCCTGCCCCCGGGGCGCATATACGGGATGCGGGTCACGGGGCCCTGCCCCAGCCCTGGGCCCGAGCCTGACTCCGCTGCTGATGATCATACGGTATGGAACGTACAAAGGCTTTTAATCCTACTAATATTATAAATGCGAAAGTTTGGATGTCTGGATGTATGGATGTTTGTTACTCTTCACGCCAAAAGTACTGAACGGATTTTTTGAAACTTTACAGTATTATTGTTTGTAACCCAGATTAACATATAGGCTATAATTTATGCCGATCTGTGACACTAAATTTCACGCGGGTGAAGCCGCGGGCAAAAGCTAGTTAGCTATAAAAAGAAAGACAGAAAAAGTAGAGACGGACCTAATCTGAAAGTAGTAATACATTAAAATCATTTTTGACTTGCGATCGCAGTTAAATTATAGTCAAATTATCATGCACTCTGTAAAAGGAAATAAATAATGAATATGTGACAAGATCGCTTTCTAAATAAGGCCGCCTATGCTGTTACGATTTGGTTTTTTCTTTTATGTGTCTGTTTTCGTTATACTGCTTTTTTGGCACATAATGAATAAGGCGGTTATCACACTGCGCCGCGGAGCGCGTGATTTTCTTATAAAAAATCACGCGCGCGGACGCGTTGCCAGTGTGAAGTGCCGCGCGTGTTTTCTATACAAACTGAGGTACTAGCATACAATGATAATCTGTCGCCCCGCCCGCGCTCCGCGGCGGAGCGCGGCGCAGTGTAATAACCGCCTATCAGGGTAAACACCAACGCCTTATCCAAACTCCTTATAGCAGGGGTATTCTTTACACTCAGATTTGCAAGGTTTACGTTTCTCACACAGCCCATCCACATCGACAGCGAAACGAGCGACTCTATGCCGGACTGCTGCACCACTTCGCCCGATTCTGCTGCCAGCTCTTCAGCTCCACGATCTCGGTACAACTTTTTTGTCGTTTTTCTAAGTAGGTATTTATGAAGTAGTAAAAGGTATGACTACACATATCACATGGGGAGAATGTAAGAAAATAACATGTAGTGTGCCTTTAGGTGTATGGTAGCTTTAAGTGTTTATTTTTTTTAATGCGAAAGTGTTGAAAATTTGATGAACGTAGCACGCTAAAGATCCTCTGTCTGTCTGTCTGTCTCTCTTTTACGCCTAAACCACTGAACCGATTTTGATGAAATTTGGCATAGAGATAGTTTGAGTCCCGGGAAAGGACAAATGATAGTTTTTATCTCGGTTTTTGTGACAGGGACGCGCGCGATAAAGTTTTACTGTGACAGACAAAATTCCACGCGGGCGAAGCCGAGGGCGGAAAGCTAGTTTAATAATAAATACTTTAACATGCGTATTATATTTTAAGTAATGTGACAGGGTAATGCGTAGGTATGGTAATACTAATAAATTACGATAGTCATCGTTAGATAGGCGATTGTTTTCTCACTAATTAAAATTACAAATGAGCATTGTTTACACTCCACTCTTCTCATGGATGTCGTAAGTAGCGACAAAAGGAGAACCACCTATGCGAACATCAGGCTTCTCCAACAAGTCAGGCTAACTCCTTCCTTTTAATCTGGCAAATTAGAAGATTACGATAGGAAATGAACTGGTTATGACGATGAAGATCGGTTGCACTAATGGAACTAATCCCACTCCTCTTTCTCACCACTGTAACTCCTGTATCGTCTGAACAATCTCATTGGAGGCGAAACTGTATACAGTCCTACCAGTGTAGGTTGACTAAGTAGTGCCGTGAAATAGGTTACAGTCTTGGCGGAAGTTCCACCATGGAACCCGCAATGAATTTAATCCTACTAATATTATAAATGCGAAAGTTTGTGTGGATGTCTGGATGTTTGTTACTCTTTCACGCAAAAACTACTGAACGGATTTTGATGAAACTTTACTGTATTATTGTTTACGACCCAGAATAACGATCTATGACAAACTAAATTTCACACGGGTGAAGCCGCGGGCAAAAGCTAGTCAGAAGAATAAAGAAGAGTTCGGAATATAACAACGACTTTTACACTAACAGCGAGGATGGAGTGGACATCGAGGGCGCGGTCAGCTCCGCCGGGCTGGAGATGCTTCGGAAGCTGTTCCCTGGCAAGAAGCGCTCTGTTCTTGAGCTGGTGCTGCGCCGATGCAACCACGACCTGCTGCGAGCCGTTGAACACTTCAACGCCACTCATGTATGTATGTTTATGGTAAGAAAAGTAGTATGAGTTATTGTGAATATGAGTAGGTATATCAAAAAGTTCATTCAAGTGATTAACCAAAATCTGATTTTAATTTATAAGATACTTTATTTAAAAAAACTTAGAGATGCGTTGAGAACTGCGTCTCCGGAAACTGTTATTTTCAATTGTTTCTTTTTAAATTTTGCCTAATTTCTTGATGAGATTTATTTTTTTGGAATCAGTCTTTTCAAGTGCGCTATTACACGTCCTAGCATCTCTAATTTTCCACTATTTTTCTTGTATTTTAGCCATGTTTTATTTACAGACTCAACAAGAAAAGGGGGCGGCCAGTTCCAGCGCTTCCAGCTTCGAAATGTCCGTATCAAGCACGGAGGAGGTTGAAAAGCGGTGGTCGGCTTTTCGTCCAGTTGGACCTCGCGCGCCTCTCCTCCCAGCACTAGTGATGGGCAGGGTCTGTGGCTCAGACTGGCTGGTGCCATTACCAGCGCTTCCCACTTTGTCTGCTCCATTACTTCTGCCCCTACAACACCCCCACCAGCCTCCACCCCCTTGCAACCCATGCGCTCCCGACTGCCGACAATGCAATGCTCACCACTAAGATAAACGCTTTAGTTTAGTTTATTGTATTTATATTAGGTTTTGTTGCCATTGCAGTATAGGAACTAAGATGTGATAATTTAATGCCAAACTGTTTTATCCTAAGTATGCTTTGTAATTATTATTGATATTATGAAAATAAACACCATCGTATTACCTATATTATTTCAATGCATTTTTTATTTTAGATAACANATAAGTATAGATGTATTTAAGGCTGAGTTGCACCACCTAACTTTAACGGTAACTATAACGATAATCGGTACTTTTTGTATGGAGTTTGACATATTTTTGACGTTTGTCAAAGTTAAAATAAGATGGTGCAACCCAGCCTAAGAGTACAACGTCCATGGAAGATGAAAGCTCAGACTTTATTATCTTTTTATTATCTTAGTAACTACCTAACTTACGCATCTTTAATTGATTATCTAGATAAAACTACTTACTTACTACCTATCTAATCTAGCTATCAGCAAGTCCAAAGTTCATACGAACGGACAGTATTTACATAGTGTAGCATTTAAACACCAAATCGCACATGACATTGAACCAAATCGTATCGTAATTGTTAGGATTATATTATCTTTGGAAGTGTATTAAATATTAAAAAGTTAACTGTTTCCGGTAGAACGTTCTTCCCTCTTCCGGCTATGTACGAACAAGATGTGTCTGTGTAAGAACCCGAATAATAAATGCTTATCTCGCTAACTATCGGTCTTTTCATTAAAGAAACACAAGTTCTGATAGTAATCTATATATATAAAAGAAAGTCGTGTTAGTTACTCCACTTATAACTCAAGAACGGCTGAACCGATTTAGCTGAAAATTGTCCGGGAGATAGTTTAGAGCCAGGAGAAGGACATAGGATACTTTTTATCCCGTTCGAAATAAAAAAAGTCTGTCCTTTTTATATGGCAGTAAAAATTTTTAATAAAATACCGAAACACATAAAATTGGAAAATAAATTAAGACCGTTTAGTAATAAACTTCAAGATTATTTGATCTCAAACTGCTTCTACTCACTTGATGAATTTTTTAGTTATCGCGACAATAATAATCTTTGAGATAGATCTGGATGACGTCTGTAATTTACAAATCACATATACCTCTGGGAGGTAGCAATGTAACATTTTTTTAACATCTGTCTTTAATATTTGTACATTGTGAAGTGAATAAAATGAATATGAATATGAATATGAATATTGCCATTAAGGCGGAACAAAGTTCGCCGGGTCAGCTAGTAAAAACTAAAAAGGAGAGCAGAGATTCAAATGTTTTTTTTATTAAGAAAATGTACGAGTAAAAGGAAGAAATTTAAGAATCTAAACAGGTGGCAGATGTAAAAACATAAGGGGATCATCCGCTTATTGCCGTAGGCTATTGTCGCAGACAGTCACAAATGTGTGACAATAATATAAACGAAGAAAAAAGACAACACAGCTTTAATACGAGTATGAGGGGTGGTTTGAACTTCCAATCAATGCAATGTATTTGGAGTCTTAGAATGATATACATTGCATTTCTATTGATAGTGAAGCTTCAAATGTGATCACTGAAAATATATTCAGGTTTTAAAAGTGTTAAACACTTAAGAAAAAAGAACATGCCGAAAAAGGACTACTACGACCAAGGAATGTGCCGAAACAAGAATATTTTCCATCAGGAATACCACGAAAAAGGAATCGATAATTGAGCAATTGAGCCAAGAAAGCATGGCAGTAAATTATGTCAAGAAAAAGAAATCTTTAAAATGGTCGACACTTGAATTCAAATGTATTTTACTTACTTGACGATTGTTTGTTACCTAAAGCACAGAATAAGTAATAGTATACTAAAGGTTAAATAATGCAATTAATTAGTCAGTGAGCGGTGCGTTGTGACGTCCAACCTCAGATCATTTCTATGATCTGAGCGTCCAACCGTGGAAAATTATTTGTGATACAAACAAAAAATATCGTTACTAAAAAATGTTTTTGTACTTTATTAGCTTTTTGATTATTGTGTACGCGTTGTTTGATGTTAATTATTTATTGCGCACATATTTCACTGTCATAAGTGGCTATTTGTTCGAAAGAAATTATTCACTTATCGATGTCACTGTTATTTATGGTGAGTATACGCACACCTGTTTGAAATCTATGTTTCATGAATTTCTAATGCTTTTATAACTAGCTACACTTTTGATGCCTAATTAAGTATGTACTGTTGTTATTTATTGTATCTTTAGAATCACTACAAGAATTAATAAGAACTGCAGAATTTTAAGATAGACAACAATAATTTTAGGTATGTGTACATTTCAAGACTGCGATATATGGTTCCGGCACATACGAGAAGCGCGGTTGCTTCGCGAAATAGACATAGCTCGATACCACTTCTACCAACGCACGGGCATTTACAGACGAAGCCGGCTGCTAAGCATTCGCTCGCTACAGGGCTGCACTTTGACCGTCTGTCACGAACCTATTGGACTCTTTGGACTATACAAGATCAATACAAAGGTCAGTTTAGAATGACATCATACATTTTCGTATATGATCGAAACAATACAAAGGTTAGTTATTTATCAGTACGACATCATAATTGTCTGTCCGACTCGCCGCATATCAGTGCCGATGAGATTAGATTTTGCCCATCTAATACCTGCTTTCCACCAAAGCGGAAAGAAGAGACAAGAGGATAATACGTGGTTAGAATAGCCAATCAGATTTCTATACCGAAGCTGAGCGGAGAGATGTGGAAATAACAAGCTTTTGGTTTTTCTAAAAACTTTTCCTCTCCTTTCCGCATTGATGGAAAGTCGGCCGAAACCTCCCAGATTTACACACTAACGTCCAAAGCTCTTAATTAGAATAGTTCTTTTTTTTCAGCTTGTGTATTGGGACGATTGTTCCTTGTTTTTTGAACATGAGATAATAACACTGAGTGACAATCGAACAAGATACTTTATAATATCTCGCCAGCACGCACTGGGTGCCCACGGGGAATCCATAGAAGCCTTGCTTGTAGGTCTGCCGGGATTGGGACCAAGACCTGAATGTCCTGAAAATATTAAGGAATGGCTGTTGAGTATGCAAATAACGAGCTCAAAAATAAGATCTTCGACATAACATTTGTTTGTGGCAGATTTGGTATTAATAAATTATTGTACATAACACCTTACATTTCTTTTATTTTTACTTTGAGGAAGTGTGATAAAGTGTTGAAAGATACCTACAAGGTGTAAAACAAATGCGAATAAAAAGTTGATTTGTTGGTGAATGATCCATCTTGTTTACCAAACAACTAAATTATGAGGAATATAATGGAAATGTAAGCATCTAAGTGGTTTGATTGGTTCAAAGAAATTTCAACCGTTTCTTCTATAAAAATCCCGTGCTGGTACTCAAGGGTGGGCAACTCTGAATTAAATAGAAAGATTTGAATTCTATGGTGACTAAAGAAACGATAAAATCCATCTTGATAAAGTCCCACACCATCGCTTGCGTTTTTTCAAGGTGATCCAATAGCGGAAGTCAAGGCTACAGTTTATTTATAAAATCAATGCTGTTGACGATGAGACGACAGTATTCAAATCTAACGCAGTAGTCCATATGAATATTACTGTGTAGTTTATAAAGTGCGGGTTGTGATTGTAAGCAAATGTGTACGCACTTGAACTTGACACTTCACGTGTTGTTGTGGTCTCGGTTTGTGCCTATCTTCAAGTTAGAAACCGGTTCAGTGACTCCTAAACACAGAGCACAGACCATATCTATACATATATGACGTAGCTTTTAACTGTCATCGCGCATCATTATCGCTAGTCTGCTGGCTTGTCTGTCACTAAACATTCCATCCGGTACTTGTTCGTACGTATTCACAAAATGTATTGTATATTTGCAACTGTGGTGGCTCTCCTCTATATTTTTTGGGATGTCAACTACTTCCTACGTATAGCTTTCACTATAGGAATTGGAAGGCTATTCCAGAAGAAGTGCGGTGTCCGTGACACAACCACAATTTACGGTAAGTTTTCATTCATGATTATAAGTTTAGAGAACGGTACTTATATTTTTATTGTAGGGTAAGTACGTTGGTTCTCGTCCAATTAGCGGAGTTGCCAGCTTTGTGATGCGAAATGAATATCTTGAAATACCCTTACCTATATGTATCATATGTCGTTGTAGTCCTTATATAGTCTACTTTACGTTAATATTACATAAGAATAAGTAAATATCACGGTTTTTTTTATAAAAAATATTTTATGCAAAAGAGGCGATTTCGCTAGTTTTCGTCCAAAAAAATTGGTTTTCGTCCTAGTGTAAGCTAGTTTTCGACCACTGTATAGAAAAAAGAGTGCAGTTGCATTATTGAGTTAAAACCAATTCTACAATACAGTAACTATGCATTTTGGTATATCATTTGAAAGGTAATTTTGTTAGCTTTCAAATGATATCAAAAAGATATAAATAAGTTTCTTACCTGAATTTAGGAAAATATTGCAATAGGTCGAAGGACAAATGGACGAAAACTAATCTACAGGAATAGCTAATTTTGGTTTTCGTCCACCCCAGTGCTTGCTCATGACGTCATGGACGAAAACACAACAACGTTTAAAGCTGTTTTTTGTTTTCGTCCACATCTTTTTAACGGTTTTTATGGGTTTATCACTGTTAAAAAGTGGACGTAAACTAAAATGTTTAATGTAATAGCAATAAAGATCATATTGGAAGAAAAAACATTGTATTTTGTAGGTCCATTGAAGTAAAATGATTATTAAAAATATTAACTAGGTGTCAGGGTTTCCGTCCACGTGGACGAAAACCAAAATCTTGCAAAATTGTTATGCTAGTATTAGTCCACTTAATTATCTAAGATTTCTATACAAAAACTTTAATAAACCCTTAAAATAGTGTTTATTATGCTAATAATTAGACATACGTGCCAAAAACATTACGTAAAGTAGCTAAAACAGTAATTAAACATACCATGAAAGTTCCCTACCGGCACGTTTTTTTTCTAACTTGACGACGTTTTCCATTCACCTGTGTGCAGCAGCAACTTCCGTAGATTTTTTTGGAGTTATTACTTGTCAAATTACATTTTCATGCAGGCAGAACTGTTACATAGATATTATAGATTGTAACAAGTCCAAACTTGCACGGAAAGTTAGGTTTGTATTCTAATTTTCCGTATTTGTTTGTGGCAAGTCGGTCAAATGGACGAAAACAGGAGCTGGACGGAAAACCGGCGCAATTACCCTATATTAACTATTTAGGAATCATAACATCAGATTACTTGCTGTGTGTGTACTTCATTAATAATATAAAATATTATGTGTGCTCAGTTATATTAAAATTACTTAATTCTAAAAAAACTATCGACACACGACCGTATATCAATCAGGTTTAAAAACTTTGTATTTTAAGTACTAGTTCGCAAAGCGGCTATTTTATTTTGCAATAAAAGTAAGTAGGGTAATGTATCTACTTATGTGTGTCTAATGTGCTTTCGATGATGTAAAATACTTATTTAATTACAATATTTCATATGCATTGATTGGATTGAAACGCATTCGTAGTAACTTTTAGTTTATTAAAATAAGTATTGTCTAATGTATAAACGAACAAGAGGTTCAAAATTAAAAGTCTAAATTGTAAATTACTCTTATCTTTAATAAAATTGATCTACATTGCATTTTCAGTAGTAATTTACTTTACTCATAATTTATTTAAAACGAACTTATACTTCGTTAAATTAGTTTTATATTCTGTCAATCTACGTTTAGTACAGCTTATGGGGCCTTATGGTTTACCTGTCACATTAATGACATCATTATGTTAAACCTGCTCCAAGTAACTATTTATGGCGAATAACGTCACTATCTGTATTTGTTAACCAATAAGCAATATTATTATTTATTTATTAATTCAGATTGTAAGTAAATATTTTTGACTCCACAAATGGAATTATTACTCAAATCAGGAAGCGACTAATTGAAATACTTAGGTATATGAATATTCCTCGTCTCGTTTACATACAATGCCTTTGTATTATTATATTTCGGTGCATGTACAGCCGACAGTACATCAAGCTATGCATTTTTGTAGCAAAATAGCATCTATTAAAACTTACGTAAGATGCCACAATGGGTAAGTTGATGTGCTCTCGGCCGTACTTTACATGTAACTTATTTTAATAATCATCGGTAGCTACCAACCGTCATAACAATGGTAGATGCAGTGTATAGTATCTAAATACCTACTTACTATTTTTAGATTTTTGCTTATGCCAATAAGTGCTCTTGTGACGGATTCTTAGAAAAATATCAATTATTATAAGAATTTTGTAATCAATCTTAACTTTATGCAGCTGTTTTAAAGCTGTATCGGGATTTAAACACAAGACTCTGGCTGCGGTAAAAACTTAAAAAGTATTTCATATTAACATTATATCCAATATTTCGATATCTCAGCAAATACGCGATGTATCTCGAAACTTCAAATTATACCTAAGTACATAAAATATTAAAATAAATGAATTAATTTGGCATTACCTACGTTGCCCTAGCCAGTTGCAAAATGCAACCGTTTGCGTCATGAGCACGACACTTACGCAACACCGTTATGCATTGCTTGCAGGTTTCTGCACCACGCAGGATGTCGACATCTTCCTGCGGCACATGAATAACGCGAGATACGTCCGCGAGCTGGACTTCGCAAGGTTCCACTTCTACGATCGCAGCGGCATATACAAGAACATCGTTGCCGTCGATGGTCACGCATTACAAGGAGCTTCCAGCATCAGATACAGGAGGACAATACCCATTTTTACTCCATACAAGATTGAGACGAAGGTAAATAACAAACAATATTCTGAATAATTCATGGTTCAATGAAGGACAAAGTAAAGATTTATTTTATTTACTTAGTAGCGATTTCGGTAATCTTTAGAATCCCTGCAGACAAAGTACCTACAGACTTTTTGTTAACCGGCAGTTTGGTCGCTGTTGGTTGAGTATGAAATGAAACACTATAAAATGAAAGTACTATTAAACCGATTTGGTACCTATCGGCAGATTCCTCAAGTACCTATCTACAAATTAGAAATTGACAAATTACCGATGAAGTCGGTTAGTAGAGGTCTGTCTGTAGAGGTCTTTCTCCACGGACCAATACCTACTTTTTCTTTAATTCAAAGTTGATTTCGAAGACTATAAAAAGACGTTGGAAGTAGGCGATATCGCAGCGGAAGTTAATTCTCTGAATTTTTTTCAGCTGGTTTACTGGGAAGATAAGACGTTATTCATCGAGCAGAAGTTCATCACGTTAAGCGATGGCTTCGTACGTGCTGTTGTGCTATCACGGCAAAACCTCATCAACGTGGACTTGAACACTCTCTTCAAGGGACTCCCTGGAGCCGACCAGAAGCCAGAGTGCCCTGAAGAAGTCAAACATTGGTTACAATCTATTGAGGTCTCGAGTGCCAAGTTAAGAAAGAAGAATTAATGTATTTTTTATAGAAAACTTTTTAAATGGAATTAAGGTGGCGGACTTAGGGTTGTCAGTATTAATCCTTCAAGGCCCGCGAATCTAGACACAAAAGATAATCAATTGTTATGACATTAATGAATGCCGTCTGGGACTCAAGCGGTTAATTATTAAAATAAATAAACAGCTCTTAAAACTTACCGCCACCAGATGGTAAAAAGGACAAAACAACATAAATATCGCATTACACCGCTACAGCACTCGCTGTCACGGGCGCGGGCCAAGTTACTGTGTAAACAACCTGTACATTATGAACACAAATATGGGGTTTACTACAAGACTGATGGCGTGATTAACCATATTATGAACTTTAAAACATAAGGACTTGAAAATGATACATATTATGTACTTAATTTGCTAATCTTAAAAGTACCTAGCTTACAATGTTGTACCTTTAGAAATATAATTGCTAATTGGTGCGGAACGGAAGTGTTATTTATTTGAATTACACTATTAATTAATTAAATTAAAATGCAAGTTATTTAAAAGGTTAATTAAATCACCGAAGTTAATTACCTACACAGAATAAAAAATCAACTTTAGTATTGTTGTTTGATTTGACCTTTTAGTTAGGTTCATTTCAGTTATTCACTGAAAAAATAACTGTATTAAAGATGTAACTAAATATACCAGTTGCTTATGGAATCCATACGACAGAAATGCTTGTGAAGTAAACTTTTTTTACTCTCCCTTATTAGCCGTTTGAGGCATGGACTAAACACCGCCACCCGACCACACACGACACCAAATTTTCGATGTCTTAGTGCGACTAACAAGGTTTTAGTTGAGTCAATTTTAATAATATCTTTTAATGAATAGATGCCTCAAAATTATTTAGGTAACGAAGCTAACTACATAGTAGGTTGCCGAAAACAAACGAAAACATTCACCTTTTCACTTTAGATTTTGTCATAGTTATGAATTACTTTATCGCCATTTAGGTAAATATCAATGTTCTATTTTTATGTATAGACATTTGGCTATGTTAAAACATGCTATTCTTGTAAGCTAATATTCGGTAATAGGAAATTAGGAAAATATTTTAAAATGACTGAAAGGAAGAAAGAAAATAGGTGCGTAGCCCATAGCGAATACACAAAATAATTATTCCTATTTATATAATTAATTAACTATAATTGTTCATATAAATTAAAATTAGCCTTAAATTATGTCTTTGCAAAGTATTAATCTCACCCGAGCGCACTATAAGTGAGGTGGCGCTAACCGCGTGTGTCTTGTCGCGCAACAATAACAAAATATCCATTAGCTTTAGTGTTTCCCGTGCTGGACAGAAAAAACATTTGGTACATTAAAATAGACTTCTTTAAGATATTACTTTACATATTTACATTTCATCACATTTACCTTTATTTCATTTAAAAATTGATGAGACTTTTACTCGTACAGATACCTCTAGCATGAACAACTTTCGTTTTCGAATCGTTTGCGTATTCGATAAAATTCGATACTCAATCTTCGAATTAAACGATAACGTGACAATTTTGATTCTCAGAATAAGTTTCGTGCAACCACATCTCATACTAAGTTCACTTTACGACACGTTTACAAGGGCGCTGTTGTAGTTTTCTTACTAAATCTTTTGATGGCGATTCGAGTACGCAAACGATTTGAACTCGAAAGTTTTTCGGGCTAGCCGTACTGAAAATATTTAGTTCAGTACCTCTAGTACGAAAAACTTTCGAGTTCGTTTCGTTGCGTATTCAAAGTGTCATCGAAAAATTTTGTATGAAAAATTAAACAGCGCCCCCTATATTATAGCCGCCCTAGGGGGCGCTGTTTAATTTTTCATAGGTCCTAATTTAACTGGTTTCAGGAGGCGATTCTAGTGTCTCGGATCACAATAAATTGATAGTCTCATTTTAAAATTACACTTTTTCATAGTTATTAGGGTTCCGTAGTCCTGACAAGGAACCCTTATAGTTTCGATATGTCTGTCTGTCTGTCTGTCTGTCTGTCCGAGGTTTTGCTTCGAAACTACTGGCACTAGAGAGCTGTAATTTTTGTGGAGGTATGTATATTGATCACGCCGACAAAACGGTAGAATAAAATTTAAAAAAATAATATTTTTTTAGGGTGTTGGATGTTTTTTTTAAATCTTCTACCCCATCGTGTGGGGTATCGTTGGATAGGTCTTTTAAAATGGCTTAGGGGTTTCTAAGACAATTATTTTTCGATTTAGGGATCCGTTTGTAAAATGTTAAAGTTTAAAGTGCCAATTTTCGTTCGAGTAGGGCGTCCCCCCCTCTAAAAACTAAACTGTTGGCTTGAAAAATCTGGGAAAATTCATGATAATAGTGCTTCTTGTGAACTTTCAAGGAAAACTATAGCGGTTAAGATAGATCAGTTAGTTTCAGAGTAATAGTCGTTTTACTCATGTATTATAAAATTTCATACCTTATAAAAATCCTTAGAAGAAAAGTGACTTTAGATGAAGTAATTTTGCTTGCTTCTGAAATATATTGTGGTAACGAAGGACAACTACGGAACCCTACACTGCGTGTGGTGCCAAAGGTGATGGTGAGCTTCAATATGAATATTTAAGTTGGCTTAACAAGCCTTTGTTTCCACGAGTTGTCGTAATATCTATTGTCAACAAATTGATGATAATATTTTTTTTATGAAATAACCTATAACCTATGAGTAAACACCGATGGTAAATAACTATCATTTCATTAAATGACTTTCAGAATGCGTAATGCTGTTGATATTTTACGTTCAAGCTTAGCCTCAGTTGGTAATGGACTTACTTCCATGAAGGCAGGTTTTAGACGTAACAAGTAACATACGAATTTCAAAATGAAGTTCCTAATATTTATAGATTAAATTGAAAAAGCTGTGAGAGACTTTCAGTTTGTATTTTAGTTTAAAATATTTTTTTATCTTTGGAACGATGTTACAGGACACCGTTTTATTTTTTCCGGTAGAAATATTGCTAACTTCAATTGTTAATCTATACCTAAATAGTTCCTATTGTTTGACTATAGTATCCGAAAAATCTCTTGATTTGTCTATCAGTAACAGCTTTACCTCGATGGTACCAGAAGATGGAGATTTATTGGTAAATCAGTTGTTGCAAGTCTCGGAAATGGGCTGCTCGGATTATATTGTAAAAATGCGAGACCCGGCAAGATTCATGGCTGCATTCGAAAGAGTCAATCATTTAGGAAATGTGAGACGTAGCGATCGTAAAGTAGTGTTTTTGCCTTACGAAGATAATAATATTACAAGAACAGATTTGCTCCAACTTCTTACGTTGAAAGAAACAAGTTTTTTGGCAAACATATTGCTTATTTTGCCTTCACTCGAGTCCGGATTGTGCAGTATCTACGATTTAGCTACACATAAATATACAGGGCCGGATGATCAAGTCGATCAACCTTATTATATGGATCGTTGGAATTCTTGTTCTTTGAAATTTGAAAAAGATGCTAATTTATTTCCACACGACATGACCAATTTGCATGGGAAGACCGTAAAAGTTGCATGTTTCACTTATAAGCCTTATGCTCTACTTGATCTAGATCCTCTTGAGGAACCTCTAGGTCGTGATGGCACTGAAGTCAGAATCGTCGATGAATTTTGCAGGTTAGTAACAACATTTATTGCATTAGACCAGCGGTTCCCAAACTTATTTTGTCTACTGCCCACTTTGAGAATAAATTCTTTTTAGCGCCCCCATTTGTACTCGGGAGGCGAGTGCTCAGTCGTTAAATGACGCCTCCCAAGCCTCTATACAACGTCCCGATTTATTTCTGGGTCTTTTACCGCCCCTTTAAGCCTGCAGCGCCCACAAGGGGGCGTTATCGCCCACTTTGAGAAAGACTGCATTAGACGGACATAATACGGATGTCTCATTGAAATGTACCTACTTAATGCTCTTTTAGATGGATTAACTGTACCATCGAAGTCGTACGTGATGATGAACATGAATGGGGTGAGCTGTATGACAATCAGACCGGGGTCGGTGTTCTGGGAAATGTAGTGAAAGACCGAGCTGATCTTGGAATAAGTAAGATGTATGACTTGGAATATAAATCGTAGACTTACCTACCAACACAACACTTATATTCTTTCTTTCTTTTTAGCTGCGTTATACTCCTGGTATGAAGAATATCTAGAACTAGATTTTTCAGGATCTGGAATAAGAACTGCGATTACTTGTGTAGCACCTTCACCAAGGTAAAAAATAGATTTTCGATTTAGTTGATTCATTTAAAAACAGCAATAACATTTCGTTTAGACTCGTACTACCTGCCAGTAGTTAACTATTGTAATTTTCAGATTGCTGGCCAGTTGGGAAATGCCTCTTCTACCATTCAGTTGGTACATGTGGATGGCTCTGGGTTTTACCTTTGTTTATGCCAGCTTTGCCCTTGCTATCGCAAAGGGATGCTCAACTGATAAAGTATTTTTGGCTACATTTGGGATGATGGTAACACAAGTTAGTTATAATGTGATGACACATCTAAACTTATAATAAATCTGTAGAGAAGTCAATTCTGTACATGAAATATATTTTCAAAATAACTATCAGGGGGTGATTAGTGATCGATACTGATGCCAAAAATGCAATCAGTAAAATTTTTGTCTGTCTGTCTGTCTGTATGTTCCTTATAGAAACAAATACTACTCAATGGATTTTAACGAAACTTGGTATACTTAGGAGCAGAATAGTGAATGGAAATTTTGGGAAAACGGGAGAAGTTATTCAATTTTTTAAGCTTCCGTCGCGTGTGCAGCCTTAATGGTTAAAGTTACATAGAAATCATGTATGACGGAAATATATCTATATCTGACAAAGGTGACTGACTGACTGACATAGTGATCTATCAACCCACAGCCCAAACCACTGGACGGATCGGGTAGGTATTTGGCATGCAGGTAGATGTTATGACGTGGGTGTAGAGGTGGGCGCCGATATACAATTGGCCGGCGGCGGCGCGCCGACTTTTTGACATCGGCGGCGGCGGCGTCGGCGGCGTGACCTTGTTTGACCTTTATTCATTTGGTTTTTTTTTAAATCTGCTTTTTTAGGATCAGTCGTCAAAACTAATCAGGTGATTTGCAGTTGGTTGGGGTTTGACACGGTAGAGCCACTGGAGCAGTGGTTTACCCTAGTAAATTAGCTCTCTTGATCATAGATACTTTGATATTTGGATAGCGGGTTTGGCTGAGATCAGGTTCTTGTGTATTTCCTAAAGGCGAGCGTACCAATGTGCCGATAAAAGTACATGTAGTAAATGTTTAGAATACCGAACCAAGTACAGTGTCCTGGAGTACTCCAGCTCTGCAGCTAAAAAGAGAAGATTTGGTCACGGAGTGTGTGAGTGATTTAAAACTGTTTGTCACTGAGATAAGAGACTCCATCAGCAGGTAGTAGAAATATGCTGGGAAGGTACTTTTTAATTTCATAGAGTAGTCCTTTAATACTAAACCTAGCTGAAGTCACAGGATTCGTTCTTTTCCAAACATTGTACTGATTATGGTCGGGTATACTTTATTACATGGGTCATACTTAGGCAAGGGAATAAACGAGCAAGAATGATCCTTTTCCATAATTTTTAAATGTCAGATTAATTGAGCGATAGAAGGAGAATTCGTTACGCGACTTGCCAGCCTTATGGATCATTTCCATAGTTAAGAGACTTGCGAGGTTCTCACTCAGTGTGTCATTGTCAAGACCATGGTCTTCATGGTGATCAGATCAAATGCAGGTGCTTTACGAGGGTCCATTTTGGCTATTTCTTTAGCTTAGCCATCTCTCTTAGCGTTCGTTCGTTCGTTTCAACCGAAAGACGTCCACTGCTGGACAAAGGCCTCCCCCAAGGATTTCGAAAAAGACTGGTCCTGCGCCGCTCGCATCCAGGGACCTCCCGCGACCTTCACCAAATCGACGGTTCACCTAGTGGGAGGCCTGCCCACGCTACGTACGTCATCCGGCTCGTGGTTGCCACTCAAGAACTTTCCTGCCCATCGGTCATCGGCTCTACCGTAGCGTAGGGCGGGCGTGCCCCGACCACTGCCACTTGATTTTAGCGATTCTGCGTGCTATGTCAGTCACTTTGGTCCTCCTGCGTTTTTCGTCTTATCTTAGCGTAGTAGGAATCAATCTTCTACTTTGAACTTGAGAAGGGTAAGCGGAAACATGGCAGCCAACTCCTCAGATAGTCAGGTACAAAGATGTCCAGTAGCAGCATATGAAAAGATGCAAAATGGGCCCTCTCAAATCACAATGGGAAGGTTTGGCAGCACAGCACCTAGAATGGCGGGAGATTGTGAAGAGGCGAGTCCGCGAGTTCAAGAGCAACGCACAACTGAACTCGACGCGAAACGCGATGATGTAAATCCCGTCCATCTACCGCCATTCGCTATAATTATATTGGCGATGTGCTCAGATACTCTCGGTGTGCGAGGAGTTTGCCGCGAGGATCGGCTGTAAGCCAACTTCGGGCGCACGAGTGCCACCAAGACATCTAAGGCGAAGTGGTCACCATGACCGAAATCGGTCGGATGAATCATATTAATCATCAGTAGGAATCAAAGGCAGGCATAGCTGCAAGTCTCGGATCAAGTCCAATACTTGATCTTATTTTTTGGATTGAATTGAGGATATTTGGATTATCCGTTAAATAAACCGGCTCGTCATGGTAGCAAATAGATCTGAGATTTTTCTTGTCAGTTCGCACATATTATTACCGGACCTAATAGGCGGAGAACACTTTGAGGGAGATAGGTACTTTGTTGCCTTCCAAATGAGAACGAATTTGCATTCCAAGACATATTTGTCATTATCTGTGTGAGTGATTCGCTTAAAGCATAATCCAATCGATAATATAATAAACATAAAACATAATAAACTTAATCGATGTGGTGACTAAACATGTAAGCGCTTTGGGTTTTCTGTAAGCTTATTATGTTGCTCATTAAATAAATAAATAGTGTGGTTGTCTGCCAGGCAAAGGCGGTGATTTTTTACTTGACAGCAAGAGGGACCGGCGCCAGTCGCGGTCAATTATTTACTAGACCAAGCAGCAACTTGAATAATAAATACTGGATTAACTGTTAATAGTTCGCCTTGTGTACCAATATCTATGGCATTAAATTATAAATATTATAGTTAGTTCTTCTGCGTTCGAAACACAAATCTAGAAAGTACAGTATAGGAGAGGAATAAATTGCAAATAGTTAGTATAGTATCAGTATCGGCGCGCCGACAGCTGGTCGTCGGCGGCGGCGGCGTGAAAAAATTCGCGGCGGCGGCGGCGCGCCGGCGTGGCGCCCACCTCTACGTGGGTGAATATCCCAAACACGTTTTTTACGCGGCGGAGCTGAGAATCGATGGGAGAAATGTAACTAGAGCGATGATTTTTTTTCTGTACATAGTTTATACAGCGTTTTACACGATAGCAAAGTCTTCAGGACAATAGGTAGTTATTTTATGTACTAAAAAAAATTTCAAAGACCCAAAATCTAATAGCGGTGGCGCGTCCTAACTCTATTTCTACTCATAAATTGTGTTATTCCTTCTTTCTCGGGGATTCTAGTAATTTAAAATTTACTAGACCAAGCAGTAACTTGAATAATAAATACTGGATTAACTGTTAATAGTTCGCCTTGTGTACCAATATCTATGGCATTAAATTATAAATATTATAGTTAGTTCTTCTGCGTTCGAAACACAAATCTAGAAAGTACAGTATAGGAGAGGAATAAATTGCAAATAGTTAGTATAGTATCAGTATCGGCGCGCCGACAGCTGGTCGTCGGCGGCGGCGGCGTGAAAAAATTCGCGGCGGCGGCGGCGCGCCGGCGTGGCGCCCACCTCTATTCCTGAATAACTAATACTGAAGATACTGAATAAGTTCTTTTTGAGTCCGCTTAAAAACCGTTATTAATGGAGCTACTTTTAAAAACCTCTGGGTACAAGTAAATACCCTGCAGACTACAGAGTTTTTGTCGGCTGATAGTTTGTTTATATCAGTATGAGGAACATACCTTTGTTGATTTGACCGGTCTCTCATAAAAATTGGAAGCCTATCAAACTATTGGCATACAAAACGTCTTTCGCCTAGGAGGAGTCTTGTCACTTACTTTCAGGTTTTTTAGAACTTATTTTAAGTACTGTCGCAAGCACTAAAGCTACCTAAGTTGGCACAGTGTTGTACCTTGGTGTGCGTACATCTAGTAGGTATACTCGTACCTAATCCAAGAACTCCCTTTCAAGCCTGAGTTACTACACTTCCCCGGTTGGCTGCATAAGTGCAAACTCCCAAGTTCCTAACCAATGTTAATGCGGGACTTTTAAAACTAAACTATGCGCGATTAGCGAACGCTGTAGGGTTCTTGCTGCAAGTTTGGTGCTTGGATGAACACAGTTCGGTAACTAAGGCACTTTGTAACTACGCGAGCTAGATAGAGATCTGCGATGGTGCTCAATGAATGTTTTGGTCCGAGACAAGTTCTGTTTAATGTGTATTTAGTAGAAGTTGCTTGTAGATAAGTGCTAAATTAAGCTAAGAGCCGTTTTGCACTTGTGTATTTAGTGATTAGGTAACTAAAGTTTTTGTCACACATGTCTTGGTTGGAGATACCAAGCATTTAAAAAAATGCTGGTTAGAAACCTTTATTTAAAGATCTATCGTCAACTAACGATCGAAAAAAATCAATAAAACTGACATTCGCCTAGTCATGTAGAATTCCTAATTACATACTTTAAAGTTTATTCTGTCTGATTGAATAGGTAATAGAAACAAAATGGTCAATTAAATTCCATAAAAGACTGTATTACTTTTTACTTAGGTCAATTAGGAGGAAAATAATAAACCTTGACCTGGATTCTGGAATCAAATGGGGACTTCCCCTACACGTGAAAATCAACTCAAGCAACTGAAACGGAGATGTTTACGAAGCCCACATAAAACTTAACGATATTACAAAACAGCTTACATACAAAAAGTACAGTCCTGAAAAATGCTGCCTACAATATTCTCGTAATAATAGAGCCTCAAGTCCAAAAGCAGTCTTTAAAAATAACGCCGTTTGTCCGTCTCCAAGAATCCTGCTAGGATTAACAGTATTTGAAGGTCTACTTCAACTGCCTAATGACTATTAGAAGTGAAGGACAAACTAAATTAACAGCGATTGAGGTCAAGTTACTCGACTGACCAGTAACTTGGTGTAGAACTGGTTAATAATTAAGGTAGTGTCTCCAACTTTGATAATGTGTAAATTATTCTGATAACTGTACTGAAAAGTTTACAAATTATAAACATCTATCCATAATAAACTTTGCCTTTAGTTAGAATATTGATAGGGTTTCAAACTATTTATTTATTGATTACTGTGATACATACTGGTCATTTTAAGTAAAAAGAGTTTACCAACTAACATGGTGTAGTGTGTGTGTGTGAGTCTGGGTGTCACAGATTCATTTATTTATTTATTTATTTATTTTATAGAAACCAACAGTGATACATTGAAAATGTTAGTTATAAGATTTAGACTGACAGTATAGCCAATAAAAGCTGCGATAGGATTTCAAGAACATTTTTTAAAAGGGAAGCATAAAGTCTTACGGATTCGCTAGTTGTATGAAGAAAAAAATAAAAATAAGATGAACCACCATTAGTTTCTCTGAAAAAATAATGTTTAAGTGCGCATCAGTATCATACTATTAGACAATGCTTAAAAAACGTGCTAGTGTTGCCGAGACTCTTTTATTTCAAGTAGCGCCAGTCAGACCTGG